GCCATTAAGTCAATTCCAACTTATGGTGACCCTTTTCGGAATTTTCTCAGTACAGTGGTACCTCAACTTAATCCGTATTGGGACTGCATTCCTAAGTCGAAACGTTCTTAAGTCGAAGCACCATTTCCCATAGGAATGCATTGAAAACCATTTAATCTGTATCGGCTGTTTTTTGTTCTTAAGTCGAGGCGCTGTTCTTAAGTCGAAGCATTACAGTGGACCCTCAACTTATGGAATTAATCCGTATTGGAACTGTAGCCACAGGTTGAAAACTCCATAGGTCGAGGGTCCATTTCCCATAGGAATACATTGAAAACCATTTAATTTGTTCCACCCAGAGAAAAAAATCCGGGGCTTCCAATGTGCCTCCTGTCCCCAGTGCCCTGGGCACCGGGGACAGGAGACAAGAGGCCGGTGGATCCAGCTTTCTAAGCCCCGAAAGCCGGCAGTCCCCCCTCCCCCGTCCCCCCGCTCACAGCTTTGGAAGCCAGAAAGCCACCCTGCACTCACTGTCAGCTTTGGGCTTTCGGGGCTTAGACCTGCAGCCTACGGACTGGAAGGAGGAGGCAGGGAAGGCGCCAAATTTGAATTTGGTGCTTTCCCCACCTCCCCTTTCTGGTCCGTAGATTGATTCTCCAGCCACAAGTCGAAATGAAACTTTTTGGATGGAGAAGTCCATAGGTCAAAAAGTTCTTAAGTGGAGCTGCACGTAAGTTAAGACTCCACTGTAATTCCCATAGGAACTAATGCAAAGCCGGTTAATCCATATCTGCCACTAGGGGGCAATTTTTGAAAAAATTTCTTCCTTTGACCTAAAGTGAACTTAGGTCAAAAAAGGAGCAGGAAAGGGTTTTTCTCTCTTTCTTTTTTGGTTCTTAAGTCAAGGCTCTGTTCTCACATCGAAGCAGCTTTTTGCGAACGGAGCAGTTCTTTACTCGAATCGTTCTTATGTAGGGATGTTCTCAAGTCAAGGTACCACTGTATAGATCACTTTTGACTCCTCTGTATTGGATCCCAGTATATGTTACTCAGAAGTGGCTCTCTATTCCCATCTTCTGAGGGTACCCTGGGACTATGCAGCTTATACAAAGCTACACAGGTTAGCATTTCTCCTGGGAGACAGAGCTGGGAATCAAACTCCCAGCCAATATATTTGTGAAGGCTTTCACAGACGGGATATAATGCTTGTTGTGGGTTTTTTGGGCTCTTTGGCCGTGTTCTGAAGGTTGTTCTTCCTAACGTTTCACCATTCTCTGTGGCCGGCATCTTCAGAGGACAGCACAGAGTGACCCACAGTGAGCACAGAGTGCTGTCCTCTGAAGATGCCGGCCACAGAGAATGGCAAAACATTAGGAAGAACAACCTTCAGAACACGGGCAAAGAGCCCGAAAAACCCACAACAATCCCAGCCTATGGGCTGTAGCCACATATCCAGCTCACTAGTTGTCTACCCGGTTAATATACTAATTAATAATATAACAATATGCAGCAGCAAAGATTTTAAAACATGAATTAGATGCTTGTTGAAACAAAATAATTTTTGTAATGTGCCAAAAAAGTAGGCTGCATGAGGAAAAGGGTTCCTTGGCTGGAGTGTCATAACTCAAGAAGGTCCTGTGCAGTGTCCATGACAGCTGGACTTTCCACAGTAAGAGTACAGTCAACAAGCAGGATCATCTGAAAGAAAATGGCCCTTTCTATATTCTGGTCCTAGAAGTATTAATCATTTTTAACTAACAACCAGTGCTGCTTTGAATTGTGCCCAGAAATTAACTGAAGGCTTAGTGCAAATTGAACAAAATGCAAGCAATATTCCATAAAGTAAAGAACAAATGTACTCTGACTGCTAAATTTTTCATCAACTGCAATTTCTGAATACTTCTCAAAGGCAGTCCCATATATAATTTACTGCCAAGGCATTTCTTCCCCATATCTGGCACAGGCTTATCTTGAAAGGCTGCTAGATCCAAAAGCATGTTGAGATTGTGAAGCTGGTTTCTAAAGGCAGGTGAAGCCCCCTTTCAGAATAGGCAGCATCCTTATTTAGCTTTCCTGTTGAGCAATATCATGCTGTCTTGTCTGGATCATCTGTATCTTCTAAGTTCACATCCAGTTTCTTACAACATTGAGGAATTAGTTCAGGATCTCCACAGCTCTGTAAGCTCAGATGGAAAAAAAACTTAGCTGCCATTAGAAAATTGATAGCATCAAAGTCTGACTCTACAGATAATTCTTCCCAGTAATTTTATGTAGAATTGTTGTATATTTAGGGGACATGATAAGACTGTATACGGGGGCCAATATCCATGAGGTCCAGCATCAGGCTTCCTCACACTTCCTCCTCAAACTGTCTCCCAAACGATCTCTTCCAGAAGAACAGCATTAGTTGATAGTAATGAAATCTCCCAAGAAATCCAGAAAAGCCAACACATGCAGTCCTCTTGTCCTATGTAATATATCTTAGTAGTAATTGTATTAATCTCACTACCAACTAAGCTATCTCTGTTTAGGAGAATCTCTGAGACAGTGTTAAGGGATATAGTTCTTTACACTGTGGCACTTTAGCCAAACAGATAATTAATGTGGTGCTAGGATTGTGAGAAGATCGACAAGACATTCTGTCAAGTTCCTCTGCAAAGAAACACATTTGTTACCTAAATGTTGGATTAATAGGATTCATTGCTGTGTGGTCGGTTCCTTGAAATATGTTTTTTAATTGTTTACAACAGAGGCAAGCAAGAAGCCCGAATAAATGGCAGTCTGGACAACTCTCCAGCTATTTCCACAACTGTAATATCCAATCCCAAGCAAATATGAAATACATTCTCTTCTAAGTGCCCAACAGATTTGTCACAACAGGTGACCAGAGGTTTCCCTCTTAACTTCTCTGAGTTTGGTCCCAATAAGCCCTTTATCACATGGAACTGTTATGCTGGATGAAAGAAAAAATAAGATTTTTTTTTTGCCCCCTTACTTGCTTCATAATAGGCATGGCAAATTCTTGCTTGTTTCAAGTCATATTCACTTTGAGACTTACACCACCTGTGCTCTACCCATAGACCTGGCCTGTTTCATTTCCCATAGATCCTCTGTGATCCTTTACAGTTTTGGAGTGGGTGGTTTGAAGGGAATTGCGTCAATAGCCTTTTTCTGTCTTGCTATGCCTTAGAGAGACCAAGGCTTCAACAGGACTATTAGTCTTGTCAGTCAGAAAATCTTCTAGCGCTTTCACGGACCCCTCAGATTCAGTGAGATGGCTGGACCATCTTGATAATCCTTGTAAGAGGTTCTGCTACCATCAACATACCATCACAAGGAAGTGATCAGTCCATGACTGGAGAATAGTGGAAAACCTCCCTGATCTCAGACCATATTCTCTCTGCTCAGTAGCAAAACCTAGACATACCTGTCAGGTGCATCAGACATGTAATGTATTGATGCTGTCCTATTCATTGAATCATAATCAGGAAATCATGAGCAAGCCCTGACACAAGCATGAAGTTCCCCAGAGTCACACTCCTGGGATTCTCCAGCAGCACTTCTGAGACCATCTCAGCCAGCTTGGGCAGGGAGGCTGCTGAGTAATGGGGTGGAAGATACAACAGCAGCTTTCCTATTATTTTTGTTTGGCCCAGCACCAGATACAGGGTGTCTTAACTGATGCCTCACTGCTTAGTCTCCTTGTGGGGAAGATGGAATCCTTCTTATAGATCAGTGGTCCCCAACCTTTTCTGAACCACGGACCGGTTGGGGGGTGGGGTCTGTGGGGGGGCCAACCCCTGCTCACAGTTGGGCGTGGCATGCTCACAGGTGGGTATGGTGCACTCATGGGTGGGCGGGGCACCTGTGCAGGTGGGTGGGCCGTGCATGCATGCATGGGGGGAGTGTGTGCGGGAGGGTGGGAGATCTGTCTCCGCAGCCTGGTCCTGCGAAGGCTGCCGGCAGTGGGCCACGGACCAGAGTTTGGGGACCCCTGTATAGATGACAGCAGCTCCTCCCCTCCTCAATGCTACAATTTAGATTGGTGCTGTACTGAGTAGCCTGGTGGACAAAGTTGTGTCAGAGCAACCCCACCAAGCTTTACCCAGGTCTCACAACGTCAGCCCTCACTTTCACGAGCAAATCATGGCAGTTGTCTTGTAATGGGCTGCCTTAGCATTCAGCAGCAGCAGCACAACGCCCAGGGTAGGCTGGCAGGATCAGTCCTTTCCTTCTCTTCCTCTTTATTAATTCTCCACCCTGCCTTCCCTCTTTCCCATTACTGACGGTTAAACATCATAATGTTTATAAAACATGACTGGTTTTTTGTAGAGTTTTAAAAAGCAAATGTTTATTAAACACAATAAAACATATATTTAAAAATATGTTATAGTTGGGAAAATAAATGGATTGACACAATAAATGCTTTTGGGGAGGTAAACAGAAAATTACATAAACCGAGGCATTCGTAAACCGAGGTACCGCTGTATCCTCCTTTCTGATAATATTATACTGGTTTTCTGTCACAGGAGTTAGCATATAATGTTAAGATTTGCTTCTTATAGTTACTGTTCATTCTTATTGCCAACAGCAGGAATATGACCTTTCTAAAGTTGGTATCCAGAATTAGGCTGTGATAGGCATTGAACATAACAGATGCTTTGAGCAACCTGATATATGTCCAGTCTAATCTGGTATATGTTTAATCTGAAGTAAAACTGGTTGTGTTAAATGTTGCTTACACCCAGGTGTATTTGCATAGCCCTCTGGCTTTAAATGTCTGAAGAAAGTTATCTTATCTAGTTTTGTGGAGGTGGGGTATGGGCATAGCAAAAAAGAGGTGGGAGACAAAGTGCAGTGTTTTGTTTGACTTTACTGAAAGATTCTTGTGGGAAAAAAAATGGTACATACACCTTGGACTCAGCTAGTGCCAAACCTTGTGTGTGCATAATCCACAGCTTTGTCGTCATCATTTTCCTTATTCTGTCTCCATTTTCTTTCCTCCTTCTTGTCTCCGTCAGTTGAGGTTTAAGGATGCTGTTGACCACGTAAGTACCATTTGTGAGTGTGTTTGCTTGGATCAAGAGGGACTGAGGATCATCTTGTGAAATCTATGTGCATAGTGCTGTCAAAACATCCCTGTCAATCCTCAAATGGTTCTGGGGAGCTGCTCTGGAAAGCTTTCACCAGCCGCAAATCCTGAGCAAATTGGCATTTAGATTGCTGCTAAATGCAGAAAAGCAATTGACATTTTCCGTAATCTTTATTTCCAGCTTGTTGCGATGCAATTTCAAGCAGATACAGGGGGAGCAGCCTGTTCTCTATGTTCCTTGGCCCAGCTCGTTACATCATAGAATCAGATCTATAATCTTTAAATGTTATTGATCCTGGTCATGAAAAATACCCTGTTCTCTCAGCTGTGACCTTTAGTTGAAACAGAGGCTGTAATAACAAAACAATCACATTCAAACAGTTAAATTCAATTTTCCCTAGTAATTTCGAAATACACAATTGGAGGAACAGGCTTGAAAATTACTACTGGAGAGAGATGGAGATTCAATTACGTACCCTATTGTGGCTTCTGCTCGCTCTGAGGCAGAAGGATTTTGGTAGAAGGGTTTGCAGTGACAGCCCTATGTCTGTTTGAAATGGTTTATCTCTTTTTTCCCAGACTCACCTTTTCTTTCTTTCTTTCTTTCTTTCTTTCTTTCTTTCTTTCTTTCTTTCTTTCTTTCTTTCTTTCTTTCTTTCTTTCTTTCTTTCTTTCTTTCTTTCTTTCTTTCTTTTTCTTTCTTTCTTTTTCTTTCTTTCTTTTCTTTCTTTCTTTCTGAGGCATGTTGTTCCCTATGCGAGATCATTCCTTTTTGTGGACTCTGGTGATGAGCACATCTTTTGCAGACATTTCTAGCCTGCAGTGTTGTGTGTTTGAGTATCTTCCTCCATATCAATTTGTTGCCATTAATTGGTTTTTCTCACTCACACAAACACCAGGTGGGAAGGGAATCTTACTTTTAATCTGATTTTGGTGTCATTCTGATTGTTGTTTATTAATCTGGTGTGTTAATGTGGATTTATTCTAAGCACCTAGACAACCCAAGGAAGAGATCCTGCTCTGTCTATCCATCACTGCGCCGATTTCTTGTCATCTGTGGCTTGTATGACATATTATTAGTTTCTGTGCACAAAGAATAATTTATGCCACCTAGTTTTTTGTTGCAGAAAATTAATAGTTGATTTTTTTTTCTGAAAAGCCCCTAAAGTTACCTTCAAAGAGGCCTTTTTCCTACACAAACTTCCATATTTTTAATGGAATAGACAGGTTTTGTGGTAATAGCCTTTAGGGGAAGTTATTCGCCTGTACTTGGCTTTCCCACAGCCACTGGCTAAAAGATCAACCTAGTTCCATCAGATTCTGTTACTTGCTTCTGGTGGCATTTTAGCTTTCACAACTATGAGCACACTGCGGACGAGGCCAAACTGTCATGACATATCCCTTGGTAGAATATTCTTTTTTATTCTTACAGAGTGTTTCCTGCAATCTGTGTTGTGGGGTTAGTTTATTTCTAGGATGACATCTTAAACATCTTGGCTCATGAGCACGTTATGGCATCTCCATAACTTTGTTGCTGCTCATCCCAGTGTCTTCTGTTGGCCAAACTGAAATTAGCCATAGACCATTGTCCTGTTACACTGCTGCTAATGCTAGTTAACTCTGATAGAAGTGATGCTGCTTGCTTTTTGTGAAGATCACATTAGGTTCCTGATTAATGCTTTTTAAATTTTGGCCATGTGGAGTTGCCCTAGATTTTGTGAGCTAAGATTGTTTGCTTGTTTCCTGGATATGTGATAAAGCAGGAACTTCCCTGCCAGGCAGTGTGAAAAAGTGTGCTTGTCTCTAACTTGTTGATTTGAGGAACCTGTTCCACCTTTAGATAAAAATTATCTCCCACACATGGCTCACATCAGTTAAAATTCAGTATACAGTGCTGCCGGGCACAGACCCTGCCCAGGCTCAGACTTCTAAGGTGAAAAAACAAAACAAAAACAAGACATACAGGGGAAGGGAAGAGATGGACAAAGTAGGGGCAGAAGATCAGTTTCAGAACAATTAAGTGAACTGGCATTCAGCCATGCTAACATTTCTGTTTTTTCTGATATTGAGAAGTTCCAACTGTTCAGCTGTTCTTGGTCCTTTGACTTGTGGCAAATACAATTGTTGAGTTACCTTCAGTTGTTTTTCTTGACCTGCTTTGATTTCCTGTATTTTGTCAGTTCCATGTTAGCAGATGTGTTTTTCAGTGCTCAGAATAGTATGCTGAATGATTTATTGAGTTCAAAGGAGAAATGACCATTATCACATTGTAGTGGCTGTGTGAATCTTGGAATTCCACAAGCTGCTTCATAAAAAACATTATCTTCTTGTAGTTGTGTGCATTAGGAGCAGAAGTGTTTGTGTGTGAACTGTTTTTTGTGATTTGCAGAAAAAGCGTGCTTTCTGGATTAGCCTCTGGATGAAGGCATCTTGATCTACTTTGCAGAAGCCAAGAAGTTCTGTTTTCCAGTTTTCTTGAGTGAATGAGAATGCTTTTTCCTAATTCAAAGGCTCCTTTCTGCTCATTGGTGGGCATATAGCTAAAAGAGAAAAAAGAGAACGTAATCTCTTGAATTTCTTTGAAGTACCTCAAATTCATTATATATTTTGTATTTTGAAACAGGACAGATCAGTCATTGATATGTGAAAGACACTATCATTCCAGTACTCATTTCATCCTTATCTTGCTTGATATACCCAAAGAATTAAAGATGTATCATTTTACCACAGGAGACCATCATTGGAGGCCTTTTACCTGAAACTACCTATTCTGTCAGCATTGCAGCCTATACCACTAAAGGAGATGGAGCCCGGAGTAAGGCCAAGGTGATTACAACCACTGGAGCAGGTGAGTCAATTGCACTAGGAAGTGTCCTTGGTGGACATGACTATTTAAGCATTGTGAACATCTGAATCATTAATGGGAAATTATGGAGTGTCAGAAATTTTAATGTTCAGAGGTGTCACAAAAGTGGAAAGACTCAACAGCTTTGACTGCAGACAGTCCCCCTTGAAGATTCTTTCTCTCTCTCTAAGGACCACCACACATTACAATCACATTGTAAAGAAAAAAGCTTCATGGTCTAGTATTCTGTGTTTAGCAGCAGCCATCCAGATATCTGTAGAGCAGCAACTCCTAAATTTGGACTACATCTCCAAGAATCTCTGGCCTCTGCTGGCTTTGGCTTCTGGAAGTTCAAGTCCAGGAAGAACCACTTCTCCAGAGCGTCATAGGCAGAACAGGAAAGCAGTGGCCATCTCCGCTGATCATCCTATGAATCTGATATTTGGAACTATACTGTTTCCTTGTCTAAGATACTTGCTGAACATGAACGGGTAAAGCCTTCAAAGCTAGCAATCACCACTGACTTTATGGCAAGAGTGAGCAACATCTAGGCTATTTTCGGGCCAAAGAGCCCGAAAAACCCACAACAACCATTAGATCCCGGCCATGAAAGCCTTTGCAAATACATCTAGGCTATGGTTCATTTCTGCCCTGGGAGATTTTCACTATCCCTCTTCCCTCAGTTCTTGCTGCTGACACTACTGATAAATTTCTCTGTTTTTCTTTAAAATATGACACCACATTTTGGCAACAGAAAGGCCTCCTTGAAAACAAGTTCTTTTGCTTTATAAAATACCTTATTTTTACACCTCCTGGAAGCTTGTTCTAACAAGTTAGAGAGAAAGTTTGCTGCTGTTGCCAGATTTGTCTACACTAACCTTTAGAACTCTGTCTTATAGTGATGAATTATATAAATAAATGGTGGTCTCTCTGCTCTTTTTCTTCTTTTTCTTTATCCCATTTTCGGTCAGTTTCATTGGATTATCCAAAATCATGATACTATAAGCAAGGAACTAAAAATTGCCTCTGTATTTTCCGATACAGAAAGTACATGTCTCCATAATGGATAATAGTAATGCCCAGAGCATGGTTGTCTCATCTGTTGTCCTCAGCTACCTTTGGAAACTACAGAGACCAGACGTTATCACGCAAGTTAAAATACATGCATGTGTATTTTGGAGTAGCAGAATGATGAAATCCCAGATATAGATGCCTATGCCCCTGAACAAAAGAAAAGTACCTTTCCTTTACTTGTCTTAAGCACAGGTCTAAACAAGTGGTGGACAGCAGTTGAAAGTAATAGTTCTAAAGGACTCAAGGAAGGGTCAATATATCCAGCAGAGAACTGTCCCTCCAAGTTTGAAAAAACAGTATAGTATTCCGGTGAGCCTGTTGGGAGAAATCAAGACATTTTGTATGAGGGATTTCTGCTGTGTCTTCTGCTGTTTTGGAATTCTGCCTGTATTTTCACTATGTATTAACGAAGTAGCATCTTTCCAGCTCCAGTGAGTGTGCACTGTGCTTGGACTGTGTATATCTACACGTAGAATCATAGAATCACAGAGTTGGAAGAGACCACAGGGGCCATCGAGTCCAACCCCCTGCCATGCAGGAACTCCATCAAAGCACTCCTGACAGATGGCCATCCAGGCTCTGCTTAAAAACCTCCAAAGAAGGAGACTCCACTACATTCCAAGGCAGCATATCTCACTGCCAACCAGCTCTGACAATAATCAGCTAAAAAAAGTTGTCTTTGTATGAAATTAATTTAGGGTCTCAAAAAAGCCCCATTTGCAGTGGATAAGGATTCAAAAAATCTTAGTCTAGCATCCTGTCAGATTTTAAGCCAGTACCCAGAGATTTCAGGCTGGTTGCACAAGCAGTTGAACAATTAACGGAACTTGCATAAGAAGGTATCGAGTACCTCCTTACACATTGAAGCCCTATTTATGTTAACAGGTACCTTCTGTGATTTTATGCAAATCAGAGATCATGTGGAACATTGGAGGCAGAGCATAACACTTCACCTGCAAACAGGATAGTAGTCTTAATATCATGGTAGAGACTTAGTTCAGAGGATAAGAAAAAGAGGTGTGTTGATTAGGATTTTTTTGAATGCTTGTGGTAAAGTAGAAAATCTTGGTTCATCCTTGACCTTCTCTCATATTTATTGAGTCCTACCAGTAATCTGAAAGAGTGACATTTTCATATTAGGCCTAGGGTTATATACTCTTTCCAATGAAGCTTTTTCTTGGTGCCTGCTTTCCTGAAGATGCCAGCCACAGAGACTGGCGAAACATTAGGAAGAACAACCTTCAGAACACAGCCGAAGAGCCCGAAAAACCCACAACAACCATTAGATCCCGGCCATGAAAGCCTTTGTGAATGCTTTTTCCTGGTGCTTACTTCCCTTTCCTGCATGTTCTGTTGATATCCAGGCTCATTTTCTTGTTAGCACATCCCATTCTTTTTCTGTACAATAATACTTTCTCAGCTTCTCTGTTTATCTGACACCACAACTTCCAGCTAAACAAATGAAACTGCTAAACATACCCCACCTGAAAGGAGCTCACACAACAGCTATATCCAGAATACCAGTTTACTGATATGAATTGAATCTGAGTGTTACAATCCAGAATTAGGCTTAATTTGACACTGTGCTGGTACTAAGTAGTTTTACCATTGCTGGATTTATCTGTCAATCTCACCTGATTTGGAGGAAGAATGTATGTCTTTTGTGGGTGGAACTCAGCTATGAAACCATCCATTTTATGCAGCAGGTGTTAAGCTTTGAAGGGAGCATCCCTTAATTTGTGCTACATATATCAGATTTTGAATCCTGTTGCTACTCAGCCATCACATCAACATTCCTAGCAGGAACCAGATCATCAGCTCAAACACAGCACATTTTGATTGCAAACAGCATGCCTTGCTCTCTCAACAGCTCGCACAGGTGGTGAAATTATAACGATTGCTATGAAAATTGCCTGCTTCAAGCCAACAAGGATTCTGAATCTAAGCTTGTGCATCTCCGCAATGCCTTCTGCTACTGTCCATATTACTTTATTTACCTTTCACCTCTTTCTTTCCACTGTCCCAGTCTGCTTTGTCTGGACTCCCTGTTGTCAATGCCAGGGTTCAAGGAATGAGTGGATAGATGCATAGAGATTTGAGGTACAAACTTAGAGAGGTTTCAAAGTCAATATCTGACAATATGTCAGTTTCGATTGTAATATCGGAAATTGCTATATTTGGATTTACTTACAAGTTATTAATAAGGGATTCATAGCTTGATTTTAAACTAATTTTAAGATAATTTACCCAAGAATCTGGTTCCTTCTGAATTTCAGTGCATCACTTACTGACATGCTGCATTAGCAATTCTGCGGATTCTGTAGTTCTGCTGTCACAAATGTTTCCATAAAATACATGGCATTTTAAAATCTGTGATTATTTTATAGTTCTAATTGTCACGAGCCACTTTGGGTCCCCTGTGGGGAGAAAGGCAGCATATCGTTTGTGTTTTGTTTTGTTTAATTGTGATATGTCAGAACTTGAAGAGCTAAAAGTTACGCTTCATGTTGTGAAATATGTGAGTTCTTCCTGAACTGATCCACTTCAGAGTGTGGAATGTTGCCCTTATCAAAAATTATCTTCCTCTGAAAATCTAGTGGATTGGGAAGAAGAAGACTTAAGCTCAGCCTTCTCCTAGATGTTTTATCTCCTAGATGTGCTCTGAGAGTTTTTGATGTGGGGGAACATTCAAACATGGGAGTTTCATCTGCAGTCTGGAGTGGCAGGGAAAGACACACCATTCATATTTCTCAACATGTAATAACGTTCTAAACTGTTTGGGTGAGTGACTCCCAATAGCCAGCATTTGCTGTCTCACCCACTAACACACAACACATCACTCTGTTTTTATCCTGCAGTCCCAGGCAAACCTACCATGATGATCAGCACCACAGCCATGAATACAGCTCTAATCAATTGGCATCCACCCAAAGAGATGATTGGGGAGCTCCTGGGCTATGTGCTACAGTATAAACGTGCTGATGAGGAGAAGATGACGATCATTCATTTCGGGAAGAATGATGATCACCACACTGTGACGGGCCTTTACAAGGGTGCCACCTACATCTTCAAGCTGTCTGCCAAGAATAGGGCTGGTTCTGGGGAAGAATTTGAAAAGGAAATTACAACTACAGAGGAGGTGCCAAGTGGCTTCCCCCAGAACCTGCATGTGGTGGGGCTTACTACCTCTACCACTAAAGTAATGTGGAATCCACCATCGCTAGCTGAGCAGAATGGGAAAATTATCAACTATACTGTTGTATACAGAGATATTAATAGCCAGCACAACCTGACTAATGTTACTAAGGAAACAAGCATCACCCTGGCCAATCTCAAACCTGACACGACCTATGACATCAAAGTTAGAGCCCACAATAGCAAGGGGGCTGGGCCCCTCAGCCCAAGCATTCAGTCTAGGACAATGCCGATGGAGCAAGGTAAGCACCTTGTACTGTGACCACATGCAAAATCCCTGCAAAATGCACCAGAGATGGTTTAGTTAGTCTTACCTCACTAGGCTCATGACAGGGGAGGGAGTGGAAAGGAGCATGACTGTGTTTTTTGTTTCAAAACACACAAACCATTTTCTCTTTGCACCTGAGAACTGTGGCACAATAGTTTTGGTGTGCTTCAAAAGAGAGCTGCTTTGAAGAGCCAGCACCTAGGAACTGCTACCTTTTGATTGTGAGAAAGAACAAAGGGGAAAGTAAAAGGTGACATCCTAGTCTTAATCTCTTTTCTCAAAGAGTGCCTTTGCACTAGGTAACTGGTTGAAAAGTTCAGGTGTTCTCCAAAGAAAGGGTTTTTTGAGTCTCACTACTGCTGCAGCTTAGGAGGGTGAGAGGTGATTTGCATCCTATTGTTGCCCTAAAAGGGACACTTAAAAAGAATTCTTTCTATTTGCAGTGTTTGCAAAAAATTTCCGTGTCAGTGCTGTGATGAAAACATCAGTTCTGCTTAGCTGGGAGGTGCCAGACACGTATAAATCTGCCGTACCCTTCAAGGTAAGGGAATTTCAGTCATGGATGGAGAGTTGATCCAAGTGTGGTAATTATTATTTGACAGAATCAAATCTGGTTGTGACTGGATTTAAGTGAAAGGAAGAAATAAGAAGGGTTCTCATGGGTTCTCGAGTTAGAGGGATTGCTGCAATCAGTCTAGCATTTTCTGAGTGAGCTGTCTAAGCACACCTGGAGACAGTCCACTCCAAGCTTTTGTATCATGGTGGAAGAGCCATGGACATATCTTACTTCACATTCCTGATACTTCATCATTTCCACCTCCTATACTCTGAATCACTGAATCTATGGTATATTAGGCACTAGACAAGTATTCTTAAGAGTAGGTCAAAACCCTTTGCATTATCATGGCGCAAAATCAGTAACAGCAGCCACGAGAACATTATCCTAGCTGTGTATAAACTAAATTTTCCAATTATTACTTGATTCTGGATGTTAACATGTGAATTTCATAGTCAAGAAATTAGCATGAATGGCTCCTCCCTATGAGACTGCATGACCTCAATCACCAGGCTGAGAGTTCATGCAAAAGCAGCTCCCACTCAGCTAAGGTAACTTTTAAGGACCTGAGTAATAGGCTGTGAACGGAGTCAGAACCCCAACATTCACAGACAACGCTTCTTTGCGTTCTTGCTAGTCAAGAAGCACTTTGATGCTAGATGTGTTCAGGACAGAGGAGATATTCTTGATAGAACACTGTCTCCTTTCCTTGCTCACAATATGACAGGCAGAAGCAAGCACTCCTGTTAGTAGTGGAATTCTGTGAGAGGAACTGTATGTTAAAAGCTTAGTTCTTTGGATTCGTATCCAGCACTGTGTGGCCAGAAAGGTCTTGGAACAGCTAATGAACCATCAGGTCTCTTGTTTTGTGCAGGCCTCATAAGGTCTGGTGTGAGTTCAGTAGTCGAGGTTACTGAAGTGAACGGAAAGTTGACAGCAGTTGTTACTGCAAGTCAATCATGTTCAGGCACTGGAGCAGATGCTGTTAGTGACTTGCTAGATGAGAAACAGCCGTGCAAACATAGGAGGTGTGAATGAGCTTTCTTCTTTCTGTTGACAACCCTAGATGTCTAGGTCATACACAAATGCCAACAGAGTAGCAGGCTCAGTAACAGCTGAGATCTCTGGGAACAGGGCTTCGGCAAACAGGACTCCCCTCTGTGCATAGTGACTTAATTCAAGCATACAGGATGCCAGGCCAAAGCTTAATATCTAACAACAGAGCATTGCTGATAAATCTCCATGGGAACAATTAGCATTATCTGCATTTGATAAACAGTCTAGTACTAAATCTACATCCCAAAGGGTGTCATCTTTCTCTTTAACAGATTTAATTAAAGAAGATCCTGTTCTGATTTGTGAGGCTCAGGCTAAATCTCATGGTATTTTTATTGGGGAGGAACTGAGACCTGTGAAATTTCTTTTCTAAAAATCAATAATGAGGATTTCAGTACTCCTAAGGGAAGAGTCAGTGCTTCATCTGGTCCAGGAGATAAAACTCTCTGCAGAGAGATGACTAGTCTTGCGGAGTGTGGGTGAGACGATGTTACAGTGAGATTGCTGTTGCAATCAGAACCTGACGCAGTCCCTGATCTAAAAGAGCTCCTTCCCTGTCTGCATATTTAAAATGTATTTATTTATTTGGGGGGGGAGGTGCATCTTGTCTGTTAATAAGAACTGGTTTTTAAACATTTTGATGAACACATAAATAAAATATTATTGGCTTCCATTCAATTATGTGAAACCAGCCTCCCCCAAACTGGCACCTATCAGATGTTGTCAACTAAAACTTCCATCAATCTCAGTCATTATAATCAGTAGTCAGAGATGATGGGAGTTGTCATCACAAACATCATATTAGGGAACGTTTACTTGGCTCATGGCATGTTTCTAGTAACACATGCATCTTAGAGTTTGGTTTTTGCTGCTCTGATACAGGCATTTGAACAGCTGTGGCTAAGGTGGCAAGTACAGTAGAGGCAGCTATTCCTGCCCTAGAAGTCTCTGCCCTTTTAAGTGGGTGGCACAAAGTTGCAACATCCATAAGTGGAACTGAGGTTCTGAATCCTCTTGTCGCATGTACATAATAACTGACCTTTGCCAGTCAGCTGTTGCCCAGCAGTGAGAAAGCAGTGCCAATGGTTCCTTGTGCACAAGATCTGGGGGCACAGCACTGCTGGTTTGGATCCAGCTAGGTCTTCACCCTAGCATTGGGAACTTCTTGTTTGATTTAGCTGACTTCTGTGCTCCAGTGATATCACATTGGGAATTAGCTACAAATCATGTAAGAGTGCTTTATTGGTAAAATAGTCTGTTAATATTACCACCAGTATATGCTACTGGATGGTAATACTACACTTAGCTTCTTTTAAAAAAATTAAGAATGATGTAAAATTGATCACAAATTGAAGTTTGATTCTTGAGTATTAAGAAGTATGAATTATAGAATTTATCTCTTTGTGGATCTGGTGGTAAGCATGGGAAATGTCTGTACTGCAGCCACTGTTTTTTTCTGATGATTCTGTGAATGCAGAAGTGAGTAGAGCTAAACAGCATTTTAAAAAGTCTGTATATTATAGCCAATATGATGACACAGATACAAAATCTGTTTCTTGAGCTGGACTGAAACCCTGCAAATCCTATACTCAGGATCCTATTGGTTAACTATGCTGACTTAAGTGCAGTGGTGTAAATTGCAGCAGCAAATTACAGTAGTTGGCAAATCCATTATTGCACACTATATCACATGACCAGCATGTGATCAGGGATAAAAGCAGCAACATATTACCCTAGTGGCAATTTGTCACTATAATTTACACTATTCATTATGCTGGAATAACTGTCCTATAGGATTTTGGCCAATATGACTTATTTTTTTAATCATCATGCAGAAGCAGCAATACCTTCAAGACCACTAGCTTTTAATTGGTAGCTGATAAAGGAAAACCAATAGCTTAGAAGGCGGCCAAGAATAAAGTATTGTATAGCATCATTAAGACTAACAAATATTATTTGACTTGAGCCCGCTTCACATATGAAGACTCTTTGCTATTCTGTTGTAACAGACCAACATGGCTACTTCCTAAGGAACAAAAAGAAATCAGATAGAAGAGGATGGGTAATGTTGCAAAAATATTTAGGATTTTCCATTGCAAAAGTAGGACTGAGGTATGATGAAACAAGGTTCGATAGAACAGAATTTTTAAAAGAAGAGAAAGCAGAGCAGATTTCTAATTGCCAAGGATACAATCTTCAGCCTTGGATCTTCTCTATAATTGCACCATTTCTCCTGAAATGTAGAGGCCAGCAGCTGTACCTGGATGCTGGGAACATGCCAGTTAAATGGGTTGCACCATTAAGCTTTTGCTTGGAGGAGCAAAAAAGAGCTTAGGTATTAGATTCAAGGTTTGGGCCATACTTCAGATCCTTGACAGTGTCAGTTCCTCATTTCCTGTAATTCTGTGCCTCTCAGTAGCAAGAACTCTTGCAGCAACTCAAAACATAGAGGTAATGCCACAAAATCCAAGAGCAGTGTAATGTAATGTAAATCGAAAGCAAATTAAATCAGTCAGAGAGCACTACCAAACATAAAACCCAATATCAGAGAATAATAGTGATACAGGAATCAAAAAAGCACCTTTTCTTTTTAACTCACAGACTGAAATACTTGAGAAAGATAAAGGTCTTAACCAGACTACAAAGTGTAGGTGGCAGGCAAGACTCTCTGGGGATGGTATTCCATAACCATTGTGACAGTCTAGGAAAGGCCTTCCCCCTTATAGCCACCTGCTTCACCCCATGTGACATAAGAAAATAGTCTGAGACTGGCTTGAGAATATGGCCTTAATGTCTGAGTAGTTATATGTAGAGGGACATGTTCCTTCAGACAGTCTGATCACAATCATATAGGACTTTAAAGATTGATGCTAGCCTTTTGAATTGGACCCAGAACTGAATTGTTAGATAAGGCAGAAAAGAGAGAGCTAGTGTAAGATTACTGCATTAACCAGTCTTAGTTAGCAATTTTTCTCTCTTGATAAAGTTCCAGACTGTTTTCAGTTGTAACACATATAAGTCTTCTCCAAACAGGAAAATAGCAGAACATGAATAACTGGAGCAAGTCTGGAGAATGTTAGAGTTGGCATGTTAGTCTTAAGTTATTGTGAGGCACTCCAAGCAACTAAGACCAGCTGTACTCTAACAACAATGCAAGATCTAAGTACTGTATACCCCCAAACTACCCATTAGAAAGAATTTGGCCCTTTCCAAGCAACGTTTATAGCCACTGAAATGAACTCGGCAGAAAAAACATGTACTGTACTGGTATTTTGTCTGGATTGAAACTCTATTGGACTTAAACTGGAGGATCATTACCATGGGCAGAGACTAGTTTAAAATGCCTGCTTCCTCGCGTGGAATAGATGAGGAGAGAGCTTGGGTGTCAACCACTTAGTGGTAACTCCTCCTTCACATCCCTAGATGCATTCTCCCAACAGTTTCATGTAGACATGGAGCAACACAAAGGGTAAAACTGAGTCCTGGCTGAACCCAGTAGCACATCAATTCCCCAATTACTATCCAAATAGCAGCAGAACCACTGCAATAGGATGTCCTCAAGCTCCAACTCAGATGATGTCCAGAAGTGTCCTATGAATTTTGACCATTTTTATTAATCTGATGTCTTCCAAATGTTTTGGACCTCAGCACTACCGTAGTAGATCTCAGCCAGCATGTTCAATGTTCAGGAATGCTAGTGTGATCTAAAACATCTAGAGGGCCCCAACTAGGAGAAATCTGATTTATGATAACAGCTTCTGTGAGATCCTAGTGAATCTACCCATTCTCACATTTCTTTTGTGATGAATGCCATCCCATTAGACAACTAAGATAGTTTCTGTTCCAAAACCATACCCAGCTGAAATGAATCTAGAAAATCAGTTTTATCAGAGAATGTATGCAGTTGATAACAACCATCATTATGCAATGGTGATTACTCAAAGTAATAATCACCATATATAAGAACTAGTCTACTTCTTAACTACTTGCAATGAGAAGATTCCAAGGAAGACTTAAGCTAGAGGTGCAGTTTAGAAAGAGACTTTGTTGGAGACTTATCACTTTAGGATGCATGATTTGTTTCCTTTACTTGCAGATTCTCTACAATAGCCAGACTGTGGAGGTAGATGGTCATTCCATGAAGAAGCTAATTAGTGACCTGAAGCCAGATACAAATTACTCCTTTGCACTCACAAATCGTGGAAGCAGTGCAGGTGCACTGCAGCATCGGGTCTTCATCCGGACAGCACCTGATGTCCTCCAGACTAAGCCCATTTCTACATACAAATATATCCATAATGGACAGTTCGCTCTCACTCTCCCCAAAGTGAAAACCACAGTGCCAGTCAGGTATATTCTTTCCAATGATTCCACTATATTCACTGGCCTTGTGCTGTCTTCTGCCACAAGGAGAAAAAGGGCTGGGGTCACTTTGTATTCTTGTTTTTGGATGTGGGTGGCATGATGATCCTTATGAGTACCTGAAAAGTGCTGGAGTTTTTTCCTAAACAGTAAGGAGGGTAGGGCAAAGATTGTGTCAGGTGCCACCTACACAGACATATATTGGTTTAAATAACAGATAAGGAAATAATGGCCCAGAGATAGCAGTCCTCTACAACTCCTATCATTCTTAACCACTGGCCATGTTGGTCGTTAATATGTCAGTACCTGGAGGGACAGTGTTTACTTGCTTCTGCTTTAAATTATGTAAATTTCTATAGGAGATGTATTGTGGTCTTATGTTTGTGATCTTCTGAAACAGAAAATCAACTGTAGTGCTGTCTTTTCCTAGTCTCTGGCACAGTCCACTGAATAGTGACCTATTTTTAGCCTAAGAAATGCCAAGAGATTGCACCTTTTAATCTCTAGAAGGAAATGGGAGTAGTGGAAGTTGCAGGGACTCCAAGGAGGGTTTCCCATGGTCTTTAGGAGAGTTCACTCTTTCCCTACTCTTCTTCCCTAGGTGGTATTACATTGTGGTAGTGCCATTAGACCACACAAACAACATACCTGCTTCTAGATTGAAGACCCCAGATGAAATGGAACTGGACCAGGTAAGAAAAAGGTCACAATAGCTTATCATACATTGATGCAAAGAGCAACTGTCAAAACTTGCATCTGCTTGTTGCCCTACACAATGTGTAGTTGCCCTACACATTGTGAACTGAGTTGGGGAAATTACGTAGGCAGTTAGTCCCTTGGTGCTGGATGCACAGATAGAGGACCCACGGCTCCTGAAATTGGTTATCTGCCTATGTGGAGTTTCCTCTTAAAGGAGAGCTGTCTTTAGTGCCATCTCCTGCCTTCCTGAAAGCACCAAGTTTCTCAAATGCCCTTGATTTTCATGTTCATCTCCAGCCAGCTCTCAAGGTTGCCTGCAGAGAATCCAGATATGTTACTTGCAAGAGTCTTCAATGATGTGACCCTCTGACCACTTGCTGTATTTATACGCCATTCTCTTCTGTCCTTTGTTCTCATGCACAGTTTATTTGCAGGGCAAGATACAGAAAATGAAAAACAGATATGGTTATGTTTGTGCATGCCATCTCAACAATTAACCAGTCCATGCATAGAGAGCAAGCTAGCAGTCTTCTTTCCTGCCAGTACAGAGTGGTTCTAAATAGACTTTTTCTCCCTGGCTCCACAGTTGCTCAGATGCTCCATGGCTGCCCTTGCACATTATTTGTGTGTGAAATGTATTTCATGCCTCCTCCTTCATTCTAAATTAGAATTTCTGTTCAGAGCCTAGCATTCATTTTTATTCATTAGAAAAACATCTTTAAACATCTGAAAGCCTTTCTAAGCAATGTAATTGAATTTTGGTGTGTTTATATCCTTTTTCTTGAATTTGTGGATGGCTATGAAATTTATCATTTTTTCTCTCAATGTCCCATGAAATCTGTTAACACTGTGTGTGATTTACACAAAGCCTTACTGCAACCCAGAAGGATGGGTGAGGAAGGAATGCCTGCAAAAGCTGTGTCTAGAGGTTTCATACATTGTAGGGCAAGATGCAGAGCATGTTTATGGTGTGTGAGGAATCAGTCTCAAAGCCTTTTTTCTATCTTGGAAACTTTGAATTTCTGGGCTTGCAAAAATACACATATGAGGTATGATGGACAGTTCTTTGTTGTCTTATTTTGTGCTGACTAGGAGAATCGTGAATCAAAACTGCTGATGATCTACTAGCCAATGCACACTTTAAAATTAATTTTCTTGCAGTGTTGAGGGCTGGAAATGTTTGTAAAATGTTGTATTATTTTTCATGAACTGTGTCCAGAACCATAAAGTTGTCAGAAGGTATCTTAGCATCCCAGAACAGCCCTTGGATCAAACATAGCATCCTGTGTAACGTAACAGCCATGCTAACAAGGCAGCAAATGCATATTTATGGAATTCTGGCAAAAGCATGAAGGCATTGAGTACAATAGTACACATCTGGGCCATCCTGAGCTTTCTTCAGATGATTTGCAACTTTTACTTATAGAAATATAGTAGTATCACCTTGGACCCCCTTGGCATATCATCTTCTCACATTAGCTTTCTTTTTCCACCCAGCTACTTGAGGCCATAAACCAAGGAGTCACAGACAGGCGCCAACGTCGGCAGGCAGATCGCCTCAAGCCATACATTGCTGCCCAAGTAGATGATCTGCCAGAGACCTTTGTATTGGGGGATGAGAAAACCTATAAAGGTTTCTACAATAAGCCACTATCTGAAGACCTGAGCTACCGGTGTTTTGTTCTAGCTTCACTGGAAGATGGCGATACGGTAAGAAACATCAGAAGAAAAAAATAGGACTGAATAGTGCCTGAGAGGACTGAACCAGATGTTGCACTAGGAACATTGTGGCACATGAGGATCTATGGAAATGTGAACTGCACAACTAATCTAGCAATGGGAGAGTCATGAGGAAACTAGGAAAATCTTCTTTTGCCCTGTGATTTTTTTTCTCTATACATGTAGAGGCCCAGTAGGCTAGGGGGAGAAAATAAATTCATTGTCCTACTGTTTGTATTGCTTCAGTTTTCCCACCTCTGTAATCTTTTTAAGTTACACATCACTGTAAGACAGTGTGAGTAAAGGAAGGGAAAATGTAAGTGATGGTGGTGCTGCAAATGTGTAAGTAATGTCCAGCCATAATGAAGATACTCAGGCCCTTCTGCTCTGCCCCGTGCTGGGTCTCTCACTTTCAGCCCCATTTACTTGTGATGGCTCATTAAAGCTGGTCAAATGCTTCATTACTCATCCAGTCCGAGCATTTGTGTGGCAGACACAGCAAACGTGCAGTTAGGAGAGTTACAGTAGGTCTCTGATCAGCCAGCCAGCCAGTCAGGGAAGCTGCTCTTGTGCTATAAAGTTGGTTACTGGGTACACAGGGTAGGCATGCTTGAGAGCACTATGGCAAGCACACTGTTTTTTTTTCCAGGCACCTGCTTTTGTTTTATGGTGCATAAAACCTAGCCTATTGAGCCTGCAACTGTGCTGCTGCTAAGCTCTGTTTCCCATAAGTCCTTTCTCTTTTCAGATGAGGAGCTGAGCTCAGTCCTTATATTAAGGTTTCCACTTTTCATTGCATTTCTGCATGGGGATGAAGTTGCATTTTCATAGGAGGGTGTTGCTCGAATACATGTTGCAGAGCCACAGGCTATTTTGCCATTTCATTTGTAAAATAAGAGCTATGAGGACTTGAGAATTTCTAGAACCTCTTCCTTCCCGTCCTAGAATCATAGACAGAATCCTAGAATAATGAAGTTGGAAACAGCCTATAAGGCCATAGAGTCAAACTGCCTGCTCAGTGCAGGAATCTAAATCTGACAGATAGTTGTCCAATTTTTTCTTGAATCTCTCCAGCATTGGAGTGCTTACCATCTCCTAATGTAATTGGTTCCATTGTAGTATTGGTGTAACAGTCAGGACGTTTTTCCTGCTACTAAACTGAAATCTGGTTTCCTGAAACTTCAGCCTATTATTACACATCCCACACTCTGGGATGATTGAGAACAGATCCTGTCCCTCCTCTGTATGACTACTTTTCAAGTATAATCTTGCTATACAAACATGGGCTCTAGGTTATTCTTTATTACTGTGTTGTTCTAAGACAGACTCTTGAGATTGGATCAGGCTCCAAAGGTGAGCTGTGGCTCATATTAAGCCCTGTGTGTGCTTTGTGGTTAGCATTCACAAGAGAATATCATTTGGAGCTCATTTTTGTGTACTCTGCAAGAATGCCTAAATCCCAAAAGACTGTTTAAAATCTCAGCCTTCAGGCTGATGGACTTCACAAGCAGCCTCTGCAGTGGCTAAAAGTGAGCTCAGAATATGGTATTCCTCTTTCACAGATCGACCACTTCTGACCTGAAGGGCAAATGAACTGCTGGATAGCGCAGTGGTTTAGATCATTGGCTGTGGAGACAGAGGTTGGGAGTTTGATCCCCCCCACTGTGTTTCCTTGACAGGGGCTGGACTCAGTGATCCATAGGGTCCCTTCCAGCTCAGCAGTTCTAAGATTATTATTAAATCTGAACAGCAAAAATGCTTCCACCTTTGATATGAGTATAACAAGTCTAAGGACTGAGCCAGCCACGTTCGCAAATAACGTGACATGCAAGAACAGTTCTAGCTTTTTGGGTTGTATCTTGAATCAGAAGCCTTCATGTGTTAGTGAACCTGCAAGAGGTCTCTTTTCAGAGCTTAGTCTGTTGCTTCAGGGACAGCATTTTGCTCAGTGGGTGTCCTCTGACATATCACCCCCTAGGGCTATGTGTTTATATCAGCATAATAGGTATTATAAAACACTTACTACCTGCCAGCTCCAATGCTCAATTGGCTGCAACTCCAAAGTCTGTAATTTGGCTCTCCATGTTCCTGAGACTGTTCACTTGCTCTCAGCTGGACCTTTCCATTCTGACAGAGAAGGAAGCCGCTTCCTAGCTGCTTTGATTGAGAATGTTCCATTATGTCCTGGTCTTGTAATTTTATTGTTATTCTTGAGAAAGATTGCAACGAGCAGCTTGGGGCTATGGAGCAGAGAAAAAAAAATGAGGTGATGTAGGGAAGGGACCTGACAAGTGATCTTTAGCTGGTTTTCTTCCTCATTCATTAGAAGAAGTATGCTGCCAGTCCCTACTCAGATGAGATTGTGATGGAAGTATCAGCCAAACAGCAGGATGAACCAGAAATGTTGTGGGTAATGGGGCCTGTTCTGGCTGTTATCTTAATCATCATCATTGTCATTGCAATCCTGCTCTTCAAAAGGTGAGTGCCACCCTAGATCCCTGCATTGCATCTGGGTCTAGGGTACAGTATTGTGCCAAGTTCAAGGATATGATATGTTGTGGGAGTAATGTAATGATATACTAAAATATAGAGTCAGTTCCCACTGAGGCAAGCAGTCTGACTTTGACCTCCTGTACCTGCAGGGAACTGTGTTCATTATGGGTAGGCATTAAGAGGAGAGGGGGATCTGAGATGGTGTTCAGGAAGCCCTGCGGAGATTATATATACTGTGAGGGTGGTGTTCTATAGTGAGTGCCAGCATGAAATGAACTATTTGTAGTATCATAAAAGACAGTTTTTTCCCCTGCTTAGCCATGCTAAATGGATTTATCTGAGTTCCTGTAGCTTGGATTAGATACCAGGCTTTGGACAAGAAGTGCCTACATCCCTCAGTTCATTCATAAACCTACTGCTTTTCCCTAGGAAAAAATAGATCTAACCCCAGTATGCTCATATATGTTCTGGGTATTCAGTGTAATATGTTCACAGTCTTTAAAAGAAGCAGAAGATGCTCATTGAGTTACAGAGTGTACTGAAACTCCCACCTCAGCTCTGTCATAAATTACAATAATTTTTTTCTAGTTAAATACGCTTAGTTCCAGGAGGAGAAGTAACTTTGAATAACATGCACATCTTGTACCTTTGTGTAACCCTAGTTACCCTCTTTTCTTCCTGCTGTCTCTGGATCTAGCAAACAAGAAAGGTAGACATTTTCTTTCTCTCTCTCTCTTCCTCTCCCTTCCCTCCTTTTGTCTGTTTCAAGTCTATGGCTTCATTTTATTTAGAGAAGTAAACAGGAGACTTGCTGTCCAGTCCAGACTGGCTCCTGGCTATAATTTTGCTTCTGTAGCCATTGTGATATGCTCTTTCAACCTTCTCATCTTGATCTTGCTGTTAAATTTGAAGTGTGATCAAGTTTCTCGGAACTCGGTTACTTAAACAGCATTTGAGGTTCAGAGAATTCTTGGGCTATTCCTGCCTACTCTACTTTTTGAAGATATGACATTTCACAAGCTGTCTTGGGTTCCTTTGGCATAATTAAAATGTTCTATTGATCATGTCAATATGCCTTTGTTCCAGGCTTTTCCCTTTGCAGCATCACTTGGTCTGCAATATTGTTGTTTGGCATGGCAAGTCACACTGGAAAAGGCCCTCTGACTCAGTGGGAATATAATGAGTCAACTCCTCTATAAATTCCATTAATTCAGTAGGGTTGATGGGGATGAAAAAATTGAGGCTCGGACCATACAGAAAGAAAGATGTTTCTTTCTTGTATGTTATTTTCTGTTGCTCAGAAAAGCCAAGCTGGGATTGAGGTTACAGCCTATCCTGGATGGGCTTGCATTCTCTTCATAGAACTAGATGCACAATTTAAGGCAGGTATGGTCTTTTACCCAACTCTGTTCCTAAACAACCAAGTGTCTTGCTAGCACTGCTTTGGCTCAGCTTTGGCCGGTATGCCAACTGCATGTCTTCCTAGGGAAAGCAAATTTGGACACAGTATTATAATAACTTCTCAAACTCCTATAATGTATCTTACATGGAGCTGCCTTTGGAAAGTTTTTAGACCATAGAATTAGTGTAAAATGGAGTGGTTCAACTTTTGTCTGGGGTTTGCATTAGCAACCATATTATCATTAGTTCTGAACCAACTGCATTAGCTTCCAGATTGTTTTTGAGCTCAGTTGAAGGTGGTAGTTTTGACCTAAATGGTGTAGAACCAAGATATTGGAAGTACTGTTAGCCTGCCCATAGTTTGAAAATTTTGGTGGCCCAAATCCTGTTGCTTAGTCTGGCAAATTGTGGTAGAGCAAGCTCATTAAATTAATGCAGATTTTGTGAGTCAATTACTCTGTAAATTCCACTGATTGAAATGGGCCTACTCTAACTGTTACTTACTATGCTAAAGCAAGTTGCAACTTGAATAGGTCCATTTGAATCAATGGATTCCCAAAAAGCTAGCTGGGTATGTGTCAGAGATTTTTCTGTAGCAACTCTTTGATTACAGAACTCTCAAAAGGGAGATCAGGTTGGCTTCATACATACTAAGTTTGTAACAGGCAATCAAAACAATACTCTTCTGCCAGGGCTTTCACTGGTCAAAATCATTTTGAGTTTGTTTTTAAAGAAAGGTTTCTCTTTGTTTTGTTTTTATACTGTGATTTTATTGCACATTTCTTTGGAGACTCTGGTAGATGGAGAAGTGATATATAATCTTAAAAAACAATTATATTTGCATGTGTTGTTTTGTGGCATTTTCTTCATTTTTCACAAATACATTTGTGTGCCAAATAGGATATTTTAGTACCCCTCAACAATTCTTGTGGTTCTTTATCAATATTTCACTTGTACTTTGGCTTCATACACACAGTTTGTAGCACAGTACTTCCTAATGTCAGCATAAGAGATCTTGATTTGGCATCCCATCCCTGCTCCAGATTACTTTCTGCAGAAACATGTTACAGTTCTATGCTGGGGTGAGCACCAAGATACAGCATCATAAGGGGATATTTGGTTTAAAGATAGCCAGTGGACATCACCAATAATTCTTCTTGCCATCCCAAAATTTCCTCTAAAGGTCTCCCATTTAATTACTGGTCATGTTCATCTCTGCTTAGCTAGTAAGATCTACTGGGATAAGTGCCTAAGGTGGTGGAACTGTAGGCATAAATATAGCATGAAGAGACAACAGTGTATTTTTTATTGTTCTATTAACACACGCCTGGGGGGCCTTCAGCCATTCAAGACAAGTATTAATGGACCAATAAAACTTACCCAGAAGAGCTCTTACCCTATTATATTACAACTCTTCACATTTTTAATTTTTTTTAATACTTGCAAAAATCTTATGTGTGTTCTTCCTCCAAGAGAAACAGCCCCTACTATTACAAGTCAGATAAGAATTTATTGCATCCTTGTTGCTTGCGGCTATCTGTGCTACTGAGTCTGCTGCATCTTGACATATTCTATCATTAGGTAGCCATGTCAAAGTTCATCTTCTAAGCTCTGCCTTCTTCCTCATTAGAAAAAGGGCCAATTCACCCTCCTCCAAGGATGAACATGCCATTGGTCTGAAGGATTCATTGCTGGCCCATTCCTCTGACCCTGTTGAAATGAGACGTCTCAACTATCAAACACCAGGTAGGGAATGGCTGAACTATTCCCATGTTTCCTATTGAGTTCTGTCCCTTTATCATTGGTTGGTGTTTATTACAGGACCCAATTGCTCTACCTCGACCTTCAGAAAATGTGTACAGCCAATCAAACTAGGATCAGTGGTTGAGTATCCTGCCTACAGGTGCAACTGATAATGACAACAAAGAGATATGTGTGCCAGGCTTGCTTGAAAGCCTGACCAAGCAACTATCTGGTAGTTACAGCAGAACAAGAACAATAAGTCTTGGCAAGATTTATAGCATATTCCAAAGACCACATCAGTTTTGTCCCAGATTCTGCTCTACATAGCACCAAAAATTAGTTAGCAAAGGGCAGGTTCAACATGCTTACAGATCACTGTCAAACAAAGTAGGCTGGTTCATGATGTGGCTTCTTGAATGCTTTGCACTGGCTAGCCTTTATGGCAGGTTGCCTTTTTGGGAGATATGGTTGTGTCAACAGGATGGTTTATCTTCAGTAAAGAATATTTCTGTAGGAAAAAACTGACTGCTTTCTGTAAGATTAAGGTTACATATTCTTCTTGGCTGATGGGATTAATTAAAAGTATTCCAGACATCTTATTCATAAAGGGAGATACTCTTAACTGCCAGACTCTATCTAGCAAGATGGAGCCTGTATTCCTTTTCCTTTAAATTATGTGTCTTGCTTCTGGTGGATTTTGAGATGTGAGCTGTGGCTATGTATAGTATTTTCTCTCTCCACAAGACTCAACCCTTCCACCTCATATGATTTCATAAATGGGGCAGAGGACAAGTGTATGCATTGCCTTACATGTAGGTATCTGGAGAGCTACAAGATTGGAAGCACATCCCACCCTACTCATGGGAAGTTATTATTTCATCAGGTAATTTCTACAGCCCAACATAATAGAAGAGGTGAGAGTCTAGTCCAGACTGTTCCCTGAGTGCAGAATAAGCCATGAGCATAGCACTGAGCCATGGGTAGGTACAAGGCAGGTTGCACAAAAAGAAAGCTTGACAAAAGTGCAGCTTGAGGAAGGTAAGGAAGGGCTGCAATGCATCAAAAGCCTGTGTATATGTGGCCTATCCTCTTGCTTGCCCAGAGCAGCTAAACTATTTCTTCTGGCCTTTGAATCCTTTTGCTTTCTTATGTGGACAATAGGGAGCAGTTCCTGCACACAAGAAAGCTCTGGCATCATGAATGTAGCCTGCGATTGTTGCTTCCACCTAGTCTCACCATGCTGAGATGGATGGATGCTTTCTGTGGACAGACAGCAGCAACTGAACTCTGAGCAGTCTTGTCGTTGATATCCCTGCTGGAAAATGTAGAGGCAGGAAGGGGCTTGCTCAGTACATAATTAATCAGGCTGCTGTTATTAAATATTAAGCTTATCACTTTAATAGTTTCTACTTCAGACACAGGTTTCTTGCATGAATTGCCAGCTCCTTTGTACTCATGTTCCGTTTTGCTGACTTGTGGCAGGTCGGGCAGAATGATGTCGCTCCTAAGTGAGTGGGTGAATTATGAGTAAATCTTGTTCCCAAGATGCAGCAGCCGGCTCATGTAGAACAGAAGGCATGGTTCTTGGGAATGGGCTGGAAATGGAAGCTGTGTTTTCCTGGCCAATGGGCCAACATTTATAGCATCTATTGTGGAAAATCTAACTTCTTTCCTTAGTAAAATTACCTATGAAAGACCCATAGTTAGTTGGTACTTGTTTTATTAAATCATCCACCTATGCTGCCACAGCAAGTGCCATGCTGGAAGTCATTCTTCCAGACATACTGGAGAATTCCACATTCTGTCCATGGTAGAACTTAACAGAATTACTTTTTGGACTACAGCTCCTATAACTCCCCATCCAGTAGAGGATTCTGAGATTTGTGGTCCAGAAAGTAACTTTTCCCTGCTTTAGCCCTCTGCTGTCCCACCTCTTGACTCTGCCCTCAGCAATGGCTAATGGGATTTCTGTTCTTGCAGGTGCCAGTGGCCCCAGTTGCCCGAATATTTCAAGTTAGTTTTCTTTCCTCTTCCTTTTGCTGCTTCTTCTCTTTTCCCCACCCACCTCTTTCTTTCTCTTTTTTTTCCAGTGTCATAAAGGTCCACCTCACTCACCAAAGATTTACATGGTAACATTCACATTTGCTAGCGACCCAGGCTGTTCCTTGAAAGCTAGTTTCTGGTGTCAATCAGATAAGACATACCAGCATGAAGGGGGGAAGCAAGAAGATACTGGGCCTGTACTGTTTCCTAAGCAATGTCAAGTAGAAATCAGCCACCAGCCCCTGGCTGATCGTGTAAGGTTGTAGCAAGCTTATCGCTTGACAGGATGTAGATATTGCCCTGATATTTGTGAGACAAGGCCTGCAAGGGTGCGTTCACAGTGTGTGAAAGCAGAATAGTACTGCTCCAAAATTCAGTGTAAATGCTAATCATCCAGATTTGGTCCACTAAACTGGGACTTGCTGAACGTGGTCTTCAGCTGATATTCTGTTAGTAGTACTTTACTGGGAAGTCCTAAGTCCAGGTGGAGCTGCTTTCTTTTTCTTCCCCCTTAATGTACTTCCAGTTTTATCACCCACTTGAATGTTTTGCTCTCCTGTTATTGAGTTGACAAAGAAAAATGTAGACCTGCTTGCCTCACAGATTTGTACGGTTTACTCTTGTTTAGAGATGGGCACAAACCAGTGGTTTGTCCTTCAGATGAACAGGTGTTTGGCATTTCCTAGCTCTGCCTTCTCCAGTGGGCACATGTTCCAAATACCCATTCATCCACAGGACAAACCGTCATGAACCACGGAATCTGCGGTTTGTACCCATCTCTACTCTTGTTCTAGCCTATGCAGAAGGGTGGAAAATAATGAGGGATCTATCATAGCTTTGGATTCATATTGAAATTTTTGACATCCCAAAGGCAGATGTCAGTGGAGGAAACCCAGACTGATTATTTGAGTCTGTGCAAGTCCCCCTTGTGTAAAAGCATGACGTTGCACAGTCAGTATATTCAGAGAACCCTGATGTACAAAATCCACAGTCCATACCCTCTATCTCTCTAAGCAAAACAGTGTTGTATAATAAATATTTTTAATTATACAGCAATTAGATGGAGGCTTTCTGGTGTTTCTCAAGTAGAAGCAAAGCTAATAATGGTTTAGAACTCTCTGATTCCTCAGTCACTGAGGTTATGAGTGAATAGGGGCCTTGTGGTGCAGTGGTTAAGCTGCTGTACTGCAGCCAAAACTGTGCTCACGACCCAGGGTTCAATCCCAGGTGGTCACCTCAAGGTTGACTCAGCCTTCTATCCTTCTGAGGTTGGTAAAATGAGTACCCAGCTCACGTGGGAGGGCCAATGTGAATTAACTTGTAAACCTCCCAGAGAGTGCTTGAAGCACTGTGGGGCAGTATATAAGCAGCACACTTTGCTTTGATTGAGAGATGTTTGGTTGTCCCCAATAAACAAAGGAGACATGTTCAATTTCTGGATTTCAATATCTGTACTATAGTACATGCTATTGGTGTGAACTGAAGGCAGGGACCTGTTCTCCAAGATATTTGTGCTCTGTTTGCTGCCCTAGCATTAACCTATCCTGGCATTAGTTTGTGCAGGAGCGTCATTCCAAGCTGTTTCACTCTTTCCAGCCTGGTATTACACGTGGACACTATCTGGCAAGTCATGGTGTCATCTAAGCATGCACATGTACATTGTGCCATTGCGTGGGCACTGCATGCCATGTCACTTTGTTCATATTCCATCCATCTTTTCATTGTTACACATTGCCATTCTGGTTCATTATGCACACATCCAAAAAAAAAACAAAACCTTACTCTCCTTTTAGTAAAACAATAACTGCTAATTTTGCTACCTTCTCCTTTCTGTTTGGTCTGGCAGGTATGCGTGATCACCCTCCCATTCCAGTGACAGACCTTGCTGACAATATCGACCGATTGAAGGCCAATGATGGGCTCAAGTTCTCCCAGGAATATGAGGTGAGTGTATGTGTTCTTTTGGATCCATAGTCCAAAAGCTTCCTTTGGCAGCTTGGCAGCTCCACCTTTCTGCACTAACAAGGGAGTTCTTTCCTGCACTTCAGCATGTGAAATCCTAAGAGCTGCAAGTAGCTTGTCCTTTCCAAGTTCTCACTACCGCCATTCCATTATTCCTTTTATCTCCAACTAGGATAATTTCTAACAGTGGTGTAATTGCCCATATCCCAGACAAATGTAAAATGTAATGTGAGAATGGCCATGTAAATACCTGATTTGCTTCGAAGTACATAGTGGGTTTCCGGTGTATAACAGAGTATGGGGTGTGTATGTGGCCATTCGCACATTACATGTTTTTGATAGTTATTAATTGTAACATGTAGTAACCACTGGAATGCTATTTGTGCAGGCTGTTATTGATAGCCCAAAAATTGCCATGATTCTTGCCTGCAAGCTCCTTCTCCCCACATTGAACTATTTACTAGGAAGATGATTAATCTGAAAAATTGCAATGTTAGAAAAAGTTCCCTTGGAGCTATTAGAATCATAGTAATAGGATAATTGTTTTCCTGTGCTTCGAGCAAGCCCTGCAGGGCCCAATTCAGTTGTGAGGGGCTTAAATCATCAATAAAATGTACTCAGTATGAGGAGAGAGGAAGAATATGAGGAAATGTCCTTTACATGCTTTCCTGGTCCTGCTTGAACCAATACTTAGTCACTTTCGAAACAGAACAAAATAAAAGTGAACTGTTCTTGGCTTTCACTTTGATACCCTACCATTGGAGAAAATGGAAACTTTCAGGCTTAGAAAATACACAAATAATGCTCACACTCTGTTAGAGGAAGTAACAGGTGTTTCAGAGCAGGGACATTGTATCTTGGTGTGGGAGGAAAATAGGTAGATGATTCAGGAGCAATCTTGTGTATCAAGACTGAGTAATGGAAGATTCAATATATCACTGGGACATGGGGGTATACTGACATGTGGGAGAGAGTATTCTTAATTTTCTAATCACAGCTCCGCTTTTCTTGGCAAAGAATTCAGATTTCACTTTGAGCTGAGGAATCTAATATATATAGACTAAATTTGTACATAATGCCACTCACTAATATGACTTGAGCTGAATCAGTGAGGGAGGAAAGAGGAGTTTTGAACAGTCCTCAAAGCTATTTGCACTCCTGTTAAAAGTATTAAATTTTAGTTGTTCTCCCACAAGCCTAACAGTAAAACACCCTCAGCACAAGTCTGCAGATTCTGTAAAGGACTTGTTCAAACTGAAAGGCAGCTCAGAGTTCCCTAGGCTTAACACGACTTCAGCCGCAGAGTCAGGATGCTGTTAGGATGCTCTGCAACTAGCAGAGGAGAAGATAATTCATAAAGGAGGGGAGAAGAGACACACTATGATTGGCAACCTCTGCATCCATAGCTCTGAGTACCAGAGCTCAGTACCAGCAGAACAAGTGTGATGAAGCAATCCCTGTGTGTCCGTGGATTGCATTTACATTGATGTTCAATAGAACATTTGGGAGCGGAGAAAAGATTTCCTCAGTAAAATGGCTGCCTGGTGCTTCTTGTGCCAGTTATAAGCTGATAAGGTCACATTGACAGTTCGTATGTGACATGCGTAATTGATAAGGTGTAGGAGTGACTAACTCATTGTATCTTTTGTTTGCCCTAGATCTGGTGGTCAGGCAACACTATAGATCAATTCTATTTAGTTTTTAGTGTACAATGAAGCTCTATAGTCAGAAATTAATAGAACTAGCACAATCATGCCAGCATGTTAATTATTTATCTGTACTTGATCTGCTATAAGAATGTGTGGATGTGAGCTCCTCCTGTTGGACTGCTGTCTGTATTACAAGCAGGCTGTGTTCATAGAGTACCCAAAGCAGGTAGTCTGCCAGACTGTGGGTAAGTGTTAAATATTTTTCAGGTGGGACACACCCTCTTCCTTGCTCAGTAAGTAAGGTAGTGAAATTGGCTTCTGTCATTCACTAAATAGCAATAACGTTTTTCTTCCATGCTAATGGGAAACAGATGCTGTCCTCTGTACAGTGGAGGATTTGGCCAGTGTTTGCTTCTTTCTATCTCTCACTGAAGCAGGGAGAAGAGTGGCGCTGCTTTACAGGCAGAGAGAGCCTGACATTTTGCCGCCTGAGGCAGAGCATAAAATACTATGACTTCACATGCATACACACCCAAAGCCAAATCAAGGAGGTGTACAGTTCTTTTGGCCAAATCACTTGGCCACCCGAGGCAGAAAATCCCTGTCCTTGGCAGTGGAAATACAATTACACTAAATCAAATAACTAAACAATTTTCTACCTTTTTAGGGCACTGAAAATCAGCTGCCTCTCTGTTGTTCCTCCGCATTGGATTCAAAACATGTCTGAAGCCTTATTTTGTTTCTGGATCTCTGGAGCAGTGCAGCATCCTGCAGAAATAGATGCATTCACCAGAAGAGCCTTTTGTGTCATGAGAATAAATGGCACAAATATTGAGAAGCAGTGTGGATCACTCACACACTTGAAAATGTTACAAAGTAGCAGGGAGAATACATTTTAGATATATATGCCTACTGTCTGACCTGTTCCTTGAAAACTAGTCCAAGAAGATGCCCTGAACATATTAGTATATACTCCAGGGAAACTACTCCTGGGATCAGCAAAATAGGTGATTGTTCCAAACACAACAAAATCCAATTGACTACAGATACAGTAGAGCAGGACAACATTTTTCACAGTTTGCAGTGCTGAAAAGTAATATCAAGGAGCTGCACACATATTCATGCACACCCATGTGTGTACATGCACACACAAACATACAGATACTCTTGTCTTCCCAGACACATACATATCTCAGTGTGTAGGGTTAAGGAATTTTAAACCTCTTTTCCCTGTCCCACTAAGAACAAAGCAAGGGATAACAAGGGTATGAACACTAAAAACTCCCCCAACCATCCCCAGTAATTTAAGGTGTATAGAAAACATGTCAGGTGAGGGTGGCATTAAAGCTTGTAAAGCCTTATTAATCCCAACTGAGATTGACTGATTAGCTGAGTTTCAGGTTGAAGTGGGCGAGGCTTTCTGGTTTTCACAGACCTTGTGGAGCATGAGCAACAATCACAAGTATTTGTGGGAAAGCAAGTCATATATTTGTTTGTTTGTTTGTTTGTTTGTTTGTTTGTTTGTTTGTTTTATATCCAGCCTATCTGGTCGGGTCAGGACCACTCTAGGCGGCTAACAACATATATAACACATATACACAAGAGCAGGTGATACCTGTATTAGACCACTAAAAAAAACCTAGCTACTTAAACTAGCTTTCATCAGGCTGTGCATTAGTATATTGTGGATAGTGCAGGAAAAAAAACATGGAAGTCTCAAAAGTCATGTCAGATGTCCGTGCCAGATCTGTTCCTTAAAGGTAAGTTGAAAAAAATGCAGGCTGCAAACACAAGTCAGGAGTGTAGGTTTCAAATTCCACCCTGGTAGCTGTTGGTAGAATTGGAAACCTACACTCCTAAAGCACAGAAGTCCTGTTCAGGAAAAAAAGTTGACATCCACATAGGTCTGCTTTCCCCCTAAAATGCACATGTGCACGTGTGCGCACACGCACGCACACGCACGCACGCGCACACAGAGAGAGAGACAGAGAGAGAGAGAGCTAGTTCTGCTTTTGTGTGAAATTCTGGTTTAGTTCAAAATGTGAGAATGACACCAGATCATTTCTGAACAGGGAAAAGGAGATAAGTGGTTGGTGTGATGAGACTTTTACTTGGGGCAGTTCATCCAAAGAACAGTGCATAATGGGTTCCAGGTGCCTTTTGGTCACCCCTCCTTCTCTCTCTTATTTATTTATTTATTTGCTCACCATTAAGGAAAAAACAGGTGCACATTAATTCATCACTGATTTTTAAATTAAATCATTTCACTTCTAAATGAGTCTCTCATTTGCCGATGCATTTAATTAGCAGCTCTTCAAGCAGCCAGGTGGATACCTTTTTCACCTGTTTGCCCTCTTACTGGGTTATTAGTGATAGAACAGAGATGGATTTTGCACCTCTTTAAATCCAAAGTGAGACAGTTGCTGTAATGGCATTGCTAATGTTGTGAGAGAGGAAGTTGTCTGTGCTGCCTTGCCCTCTGTTCCAACTCCCCCCCCCCCGCTGACAAGACACTGCAGCTGTCTCAATGTGTCTCTAAATAGAAACGTGTATCCTGTTTCTGATGTTATATTATGGGTTGTGGATTCAGAACCAATTTTGAATGGTTCTGAATCCACAGGGCTTTCAAAGTAAATGAGACATTTAAGGACTTGTTTTACCAGCTCTATAGCCCCAGTAAGTTTCCTTAGCTGAGCGGGGATTCAAACTGAGGCCTTCTGAGTCCTATTCCATCACTTTATCCACTACATCTTCTGATACTATCCTGCTATCTAGAGCCCATAGGAGGGTTCTAGATCAGCCATTCTCAGTGGGGGTCATATGGTCTCCTGGAGGACCCTGGCATATTTGAAGGGGGCCACAACCTGGAAACAGTTCTTCACACACCACCTTGTAAGGTTCATTATGCAAATTATACAATCCTGATTCGGCTTATATTTCGTATTGTGTTTATGACCATGGCATAAAAAAGGTTGAGAATGGCTGCTCTAGATCTTCTGCACACTTGAAAGTTACAAAGCATGGGTTTGCACGAGAGAGAGAGAGACAGACGTCATCTTCTTAATTGTTTGCAGAATGGCTTTTCCCATCCAGAACTACCTTACGTTCATCTTTGTTGAATAATCAGCCTTTTTTCCATTGAAGGGCAGGTTTCTGAGCTGAGAATGTTCTCAAAGGCACTGAAATGTAGGCTGAAATATAATTTTATACAGTTAAAAATCTAAACCATGTAATGTCAGGCTTTTGGTGGGCTCCATTTTCTGTGCTTCTTTTGAGCCATAAATACCTGTTCAGGATTGATTTATGTTAAAGTGGCATGTAAAATTCATGAAGAATCCTGTTTGAATTCTCTCTAGCAAATAAAAGCTGTCCAGGTGTAAGATGGAAAGCTCCAAGCACCTGTGAAACAAAGACCTGGGAAGCTCCCTAGCATTGTCAAGCATTACTCTTTGCTGCCAGTAAAATTTCCATGGGCTATACATACACACTTCTAGAGACCTAGGCTTTTTGGTGTGTGCATCCCATTATTCTGCCCACACAATGTGTGCAGTGTTGTCCTCCTCTATCTTTAACCCCACATGGTTGCTATACACTTCTTTGTCCAACTTTTGGATGTTGGTGGTGCTCAACAGAATTTTACCACTTAATTCTTTAGGTTCATTTTGGTTTTTAAATAGTGCATGCACCCCAAGGCAGGTGGATTGAAATCACTTTGCTTCACTCCTAAGCAAACTAATTTTTATTTGGATATAGTTGTAAATCCTGATATATTTTTCTGGTCAGTTTCATAACTCAGGAAAGAATTACTACTGGGTTTTTATATTCCAATTTTAAACACATCTTGATTTTTCTCATCAGTTTCACACTCAGGCTAGAAAACTACATAATTGTTTATACTCTCAAACCACTAATTTTCTCTGGAAATTTGAAGGGGCTTCTTTGATTAATTGATTCAAAATGCTATTTTTCCCCACATTGAGAAGAAAAGATTACAGTTGAAATAGACAAGAGTCACATTACAGATGTATATGTTAGGTATACACAAAGAGAAAGCCCTTGTGCAGTTTCAGATACAGTATCTCTTCCAGCACAATGACATTTGTTTGTTTGTCAATTTCAAGTTAGTCAAGCACCAATAAGAGCACTGCAGCCCTATGGCCAAATCCTATATACCTTTGGTTCAAAGAAGGAAGGAAAGACCACTGTACAATATTCAGTAAAATCTCTCCCTGTTTGTAAGTTTGGGAACATCTTCAGATGTTCAGAAATACATGTCAAGCAGTAGAGGAAGAGGGGCCATCCCCAGCAGGTCATCCATCTTCCCTAAGACAATTCTTCTACTCTGGCATATTCTCTCTGCCCACATTGGATGAAAAACTGCTTATCTTTTTCACCTCCTTATTTGATTTTTGGCATTTAGAAAACACAGAGATACAGCAGTGGGGAAACACTGGCTGATTATAAGTGGATCGCAACATCATGTGGAATAGGGGTGAGCAGATTTGGTTGGTCTGAGGGTCAATTTTATGTCTTTGGGAGCCGTGTGTGTTTAGTCGTTTAGTCGTGTCCGACTCTTCGTGACCCCATGGACCAGAGCACGCCAGGCCCTCCTGTCTTCTACTGCCTCCCGGAGTTGTGTCAGGTTCATGTTGGTTGCTTCGCAGACACTGTCCAGCCATCTCATCCTTGGTCGTCCCCTTCTCCTCTTGCCATCACACCTTCCTAACATCAAGGTTTTTTCCAAGGACTCTTTGGGAGCCACAGAGACCTAAAAATGTAAAATTTTTAAAAACTATTTTTTAAATGATAGCAGAAATGGATAAAAGGTCTGGGAAGTACAGGATGTAAATAGACATTTGCAGCAGGAACCCAGGGCCGACAGTGGCCAACCATGATCCAAACCTTCTTTAAAATTCTCCAAGTGAGGAATAAAACAATACTCTCATCTAGAAGTACCATATAGTTGGCCTGTTTCTACCATATTGGATGTATATCTAGAATAAGCAGAGCCTAGCCACAGCCAACACAAAAGCAGGCTTCATCAGCTGCTGCCACTTTGCACTGCCCTGCCTGCTCATTACTCTGATAATAGAAGATTATAGAGTTCCTGCTGCAAACGTCTATTTACATCCTGCATATCCCAAACTACCTATTAGAAGTGCTGTGGTGTCATATTCTCCCCACAGAGGCTGCAAAAATCACTTTTGCACTTCTCTTCCATGAAACATAGATCTTCTGCTACATAACCTAGCATAGGAATGCTCTGAAGAAGAGATGCCTGTGCAGCATCTTGAACTTGGCCACTAAATCTCCCAGTGACTCAGCCCCATGTACTGGTTTTGTTGATGGCAGTTTCCTCCTTTTGCTTGTAGGAATACACAAGGGAGGCTGTGCTGTGCATGGCTGTTAATAATGCACAGCTTTTGCAAGGAAGCTTCCAAGCAGTGATGAGGAAAGGACAGACAAGGGCTGTATCTGCCCTACATAATTACCACAGTTTATTACCAATTTAACTGATATTGCTTCATCCTAGGGAATATTGTAGTTTGTAGTTTAGTCAGGTACTTACAATTCTGTTTCATTCCCTCGTTCATGGACTCAGTTATGGCAGTACGTTAGAGCTCTGTAGCAAAGAAGTCTAAGTGCCTAACCAAACTACAAATATCAGGATTCCATAGGATTATGCCAGAATATCCAAAGTGGCATCAAACTGGTATAACTTTGTAATGTTGATTCACTCCAGGCAAAATGCTATTACAGACTATACTTGTCATCTGCATAGAGGACTGTGACAAGGATGTTCATGAAACTCACACCGTCAACTACTTGTACGATTGGATACAAGTAGCTCAATGGGCACAACTTCTTTTCTCTCTGAGCTTAGACTGAGGATGTAGATATGTTCAGTGTGTTTCTTAGTCACTCTATAAGGAATCAACATGTTCATAGAATTCTATAGTATTGTCTAGCAGAGAAAGAGTATCCTATTTCAATATGGGGTGGAGAAACATTTTGCAAATGAACACACATTGGGCAGTACTATTTCTACTATGTGTTACTCAGCTCTCGGAGAATAAAGTATTATTATTCTTCACCAGCTTCCGTGTACAAATTTCAGTTTAACTTGATGTCTCAAGTAGGAAAGAGAGGAATTACAGTAACTCTGCAAGCCTATTTTTCTGTTGCTTACTCTGAGGTTGAATGACATTTCTTCTTGCCATCATTTCTTTGTTCTCTGGCACATCCACATTTGGGATCCTGGAAAAAATAACTGATTGTAGCTCTGGAAGGCTAGAGAACAGAGACCCTCAGCATGGGGGGAGGGTAGGCAGAGCTTGAGCTCTGAGGGATTTGGATCTGATGTAAATGTTGGAGGACAGTTCTTGGTACCTGGCATGCTGTTTTGCTGCTGTCAGGTAATATGAGAACCAATTTGCAGGGAAGAAGCAGCAGTAGAGAGATGACATTAAGCCTTAATTTACCCACAACATACATTCCAAGTTGCTTTGGTCCCCAGAGGAGTATTTGCCAAATCAAGTTGACGAAAGCAGGTAGAGAGATTGCATAGGAAATACTGTATTCGTTTCTCTCTCTCTCTCTCTCTCTCTCTCACACACACACACGCACGCACGCACGCACGCACGCATGCCGCAACTTTTTTGGTGAAAATTGTGTTTGCTCTTGTGTAGTGAAGAAACAGTAACCTGTGTTCCCAGATTGATATTTTCCACCAAGTCTGTGGTTCATTATTGAAAAGATATCAGATATCCATTCATGCTGTTATTCTCAAGCTTACTTCAAAAATATTTATCTCTTTTGCCATTTTAAGACTGAAAGACTAGTGGTGGTGTGGGCAGTGAGTGTGGAGTTGTGTATCAGAAGACTCCTAGAATACAATTCTCATTAATGTTGTCAGGTTGAGACAAAGTACAGTATCTTAGTAATCCTTTCCCTCTCTTCTTTTTCATTGCAGTCCATAGATCCTGGACAGCAGTTCACGTGGGAAAACTCCAATCTGGAGGTGAACAAGCCAAAGAATCGCTATGCAAATGTGATTGCCTATGATCACTCCCGTGTCATCCTGTCGTCCATTGATGGTGAGTCTGTTGGCAGCTCTTGGTATTGACAAAATCCTTGCTTCCTGACATTGATAGAATTCCTGACTTGTTTTACAAGTGAAGGCAGTGTGAAAAAAAAAAGATTATTCCTTTCTTTCCAACATGCACATTCCAGTGTTTCTTCCGATAAACAGGTTTTATGGGTGTTTGTAAGGTTTGCACCTGTTTCCAACCTGCCAGAGTACTGGATGACAGCAGTGTCCGTGCAGATGAGGTGTTTAAATTACCTCTTTCCTTTCCATCCACATCTACTGATTTTAGCCTTCCTTACGCTTTGTCGGCCTCCTGAAGACTCATGAGCTTTCTTTCTCATTAAGGGGTCCCTGGAAGTGACTACATCAATGCCAATTACATTGATGGCTACCGCAAGCAGAATGCCTACATTGCTACACAGGGGCCTCTGCCAGAGACACTCAGTGACTTTTGGAGAATGGTGTGGGAACAACGCACAGCAACTGTTGTTATGATGACCCGACTGGAGGAGAAGTCTCGGGTATGTACAAACACCAACTCCAGCTAGACAAGAATAACAGGATTTTTGTGTGTGCTGCAGGAAAGACTGGGAGCTCCTTCATATGGTACTGGGACATGAAGGAGTCATGAGAGCAGCCCGCTGGGGGAAATTAGAACTATAGATCAGTGTAAACGAAGATAGGAATGATGTTCTCAAGCCAGACTGCCTAAAAGGCATACCTTTCCATCTCAAGCATTTCAAAAAATCTTTAACTGAATATTATTGTCAGGCACAGTTTTCCTACATTAATGAAACAGCTGGGGAGGTAACAGCAACCTACAGTTCTTTGGTTCATAATCTACAGGAGTTTTTGATTTATCAGTGAATTATGGTAGACATTCTACCTGTAGGGCTAGATCTCAGCAAGGCTGTCTGTGGGAAGTGGCTGGTTAAATAGGCCTTAGTGCATCTCTCATCTTGTGCAGATGTTGAGATGGATTCAAAGTGTGGGGGAATGATAGACCTGGTGGTAAGTCCCACTCTTTGAGTGTGTCCAGCCTCCAGGCATCCAAAAGAAGATTTCCATAGCAACAGTTATGCCGACTGCATGAAAAAAAAAACAACCTAGAAAACTGAGGAGGGGGCTCTCTTCATTTGCTTCTTAAAATGAAGAGGCAGCCATGATGGGCAATAAACAATGACTAAAATTCATGTTCCATATCTAGGAAATCATTTTTAAAAGGCCATTTAAAGGGGCAGACATTAAACTGTATGCACATTTTGAGGGTTCATGACAGCTTTGTCAGTCATTGTGTTACAAATGGCAGGGAGAGGGATGATAAAATTGAGGAAAGGGCAAAAAACCCCAACCAGACCAATCTTAATATCTTTATGTTACTATCCTGTCCCAGTTGTAACAGAAGAAACATCAGATATTCAGATGTGGCTCTCCCAGGTGAACTATTCCTCCTATAGATCTGTCTTCTAACACATGGAGGCCAGGTGCACTAAATGAGTTAGAATTGCTCTTACCGTTACAGTTGTCCAATATGTATATTTTGACTGTGGGCATAGAACTTCAGGGAGGATTTATGAACCCTCATGTAGCCAAACCGTTTCCACTTCCCTTGGGGCCACCAAATTTAAAGATAAGCCTAACAGACATCGAGTTCATTTGAAAGAATCTTGGGCAGAAGATTTTTTCCAGAAACGGTAGCATCTTTTGTAGTGAGCATTTGTACTCGCAGAATATTTTATGTTTCCATGCCAACGACAGGGCAGAGAGATGTGCACTTGGACTCTGGTACACTCATCTCTTTAGTCAAATAGAACTGAGTCAGGAAATTGGAAGTGGGAAATCTGCAGGGAGGGAGAAGTAGTTGAATGAAATGGAGGGTGTGTGTGGAAGGAGAAAAAACAAACCTCAAATTTGACTATATGGGCTGTTTACCTGATGCACTACATTGGTTATGAAAAAAAATTAAAAATATTCTCTTTGCCTTGCCTTAGAAGGCTGGTCAAGAAACCACCTGAAGTCGAATCCAGGGCAGTGGCTTTAGTTGGAGGCAGTTTCTCAACTGGCCCTTTAAGAGAAGGCAAATGAAATATTTTTTTAAAAAAAGGATTATAACTTTTGCAGCTCATCAGCAGTATTCTTTATATATTTAAAAAAAATCCCAATTTCCCTGCCTTCTTATGAGCAGGGGAACTGATTGATGTGCCAATATCTTGATGTGGCCTGCTTATTAAGGCACTTCACAGTATTGGCAGGAACCATTTCTGTGTGAATGATCAGGCTTGATTAGATGGTTCTAATCAAACCTGACTTTTCCCAAGTGACCCACACTAACTTGCTTCCTGCTTCTAGTTTAGCCATACCCTTAACCTTGCATATTTTTTCTGCTTTATTGAGGTGAAAGACTATCACTTAACACAGTGAGAAGACTATAGAACTAAATAACAAAAAGCACAATAGGGACTACTTTCTGCTTTCACTTCAGGTTACCCTAATAACTTGTCAATATTAGTGAACAGCAACAAATAAATAAGATGTGTATCTATCCTTGTCACTTACTCATTTAAGCAGCTGTAAAGAAGGAACCTTGTTTACCATGTGACTTTCCATGGGTTTGCTGAGCCTGTGCCAGAGCCCAATAAGAACTGCAAGTTTCATTAAGCTAACCATGCACGGAGGAGAGAAAACTCATCTGTTTTTGTGTAATTTAAATTGTTACCTTTCCATTTTACTGTATGGCCTTGAGGATTCTGAAAAAAAATTCTAGTCATTCTTCCTACACCATTCATGATCTCCTACATTTTTATTAAGTAACCTTTTGTTCTTCCACAAATACTCCTAATTATTAAGAAATTCCCAAAAAGATAGTTGTTTTTCGCTCCCTCTTTTGAAACCTTGGCATTTGTATCATATCATTATTTCAGGTGGGGCAGTCAATGTAATATTAAAAAGCAGAAGATAAGTATCAGCAAGCAACAGCTAACTTAAATAGTGAATTTAGCCTCTGAGAACTCTACTGAAATAAGAAAGATAATGCTATTCCTATGCATGAAACCATGGTTGTTCCTCACATTTCTCAAGAACCAATGCAAGATGACCTGGAAGGATTGAGAAGGACAGTGTGAGCAGAGAGGAAGTAGAGGTAGGGGGTAGCTGGCTTTGAAAGTGTTCATGGACTTAGAACTTAAGGCCCAATGAAAAGTTAAGGCTTTGAACATATCAAGCTGATGAGAGCCATCTGTGGCAAGCAGTTTTGTATCTGAAGTGATTTCTCACACCAGTTCAGCAATTTAAGCACTTAAGTGTAAGCTTGCAATGAGGTGGCTAAAATAATACATAGGTGCAGGCTATTTTGTTCATTTAAGCAGCAGTAAGGTTTGCTTGCAATTTTTAAGTAGCAGTATGTATATTCAGTACCTGAAACTGCAGCTTAACAGAACTCCACTTAACAGAACTTGGAACAGTCCCTTCAGTTTTAGAATAGTGTTTGCATTTGAGGTAAAAGAAAAATGACCTCCTTTTTTCACTGTGAGAATACATGAATATCTGAAGTCCAGTTTGCTTTGCTTTGGGGCTGTCCAGCTATCGGAAGATGCTCCATAGAGTCTGTTTCTCTAAGATAACATGTTACGCAAGGCCCTTTGGGCACCTTTCTCTGTCTCCTGTTCTGCTGCTGTTGAGTTGCACATTATCTTTGGGTAGCACACTTCCCATCCATCCCTCTTCTAATTACACTGTGGGAGATGGAGGATGCAGTAGCACCCTCAAGGTGTGACACTTCAGTGAACTGCCCTGCTGTCCTGCCAAGTGTGGTGTGTACTGACTGGGATGCTTATACACTTACTGTTATTCACCAAGCTGAGTTAATCTATTGCTGTTAGAGGCACACCTGCATTTGCTATTGAATATTTTGCACTTCCTGGAGAAGCAGGCACCCACACCAAGGGGGAAACCATTCACTTAAAGCATCATAATTACTTTGGAATAAAATTAGGTACTTGAGAGGCATTAGCCAAAACCTGAGTTAAAAGACAGATCCCAAGCAGTCTCCCAGTTGCACAGGTATAGTTTTAACATCTCTCCATTTTCCCCCTGCTCAGTTGAGTTTGTGCCCTTTCTATTCTCTGAGCACAAGAATTTTGAGAGCTGTTTCACAGGAGTGGTAGCAGGCATAAGATACTTTCTCATCCCCAGCCTCATTCCTGTGGTAATGTTGTCTTGGACTTGAGCATCTGCAGTTCAGAGGACTCAGTGTTTCAAAGGTTTCCAGATCATGCAAATTGGGAGCAATCTGCAGAATAATCTGTTAGGTGCTTTGATTTTTATGTCCTGTGGATCCTGCCAGCTTGCTGACGCACTCACCTTTCATTTTTGCACTGTATAGAAGCTGCAAATGGCAGATCCATTCACTGCCTCCAGGGCATTTGCAGTTGGCAACAGAATTTGCAACACATGCAATCTGTCCTGAGCCTCTAGGCCCCTCTGTGTGCAAGGGAACCAGACCATACTGCCTGAATTGCATCCTTCTCTAGAGGAAACATCTCTTGCATTTCTCTCAGTTTCTGTACCACTCAGTAGAAAGCACCCTCAAGTCCAGCTATAGCAGAGAGTCCCATCCCCAGTCTTGCAGACTGTGGGTCTGGCATAGCTGTTTTCTGAACCAGCTCTTTTCCCTTTGTAGAACCTGTTTTAAAGGGAAGCTCCTTATGCCCCAAGCAGTTGAGAGAGGCACTGCGCATTGCTGGCAATAAATGAATTTCCAGGTTGTGAGAGTGCTCCTGACATAAATGAGAAGTGAGCAATGCCAGAAGAAAAACTTTCTTATCTGGTTTAGTGCCATCATGCATCAGCTTCAGCATAAAATTTACAGAGCTTGAAAATGGGGCATAAACATTATGGGTAAATTTGGCAGAAAATGTGAGTGACTCTTATCTGGTCATGAATAAATAATTTTCAATTACCAGCTATGGCTCAGCTATTAAACTCTAGGATGGATTACTTCAAAATTTCTTTGGTGTTTGTATATAGACAGCAATACAGTTTCACCAGACTTTGGCAGGAAAAGAGAAACACTTGCACTGGACTCAGGCTGGCCTCCACCCTTACCTTTTCAAAGTTAATACTCTTTCTCACTCCTGTCGGTGAGATCACAGATCACGTGGGGAGAAACACTTGCACTGGACTCAGGCTGCCCTCCACCCTTACCTTTTCTTTCTCCTGTCGGTGAGATCACAGATCACGTGGGCAGCAGTCCTTGCAGTCAGTTTGTGTAGCGATTAGACTCTTGTAGTGATTAGACCTTATAAATCAATAATCTTGTTAACAGCCCTGCTCAAGTCTCACACACTAAGGGCCAAGGTTTCCTTTATTGATTTAATCCATCTCATGTTTGGTCATTCTCTTTTCCTGTTGCCCTCAGCTTTTATAACATTATTATATTTTCTAGTGAGCCTTGGCTTCTCATGATGCATCCAAAGTACGAGTCTAGTCATTTTCATAGAGAGTTCAGACTTGATTTTATCTAGGACTGATTTATTTTTCTGGTGGCCCCTGGTCCCTGTAAAACTCTCCTCCAACACTACATTTTTATTGCTTTTTTTTCTTGTCTGCTTTCTTCACTGACCAGTTTTCACATCTGTATACTGTGAACAGGAATACAATAACATGGGGAATCTTGGTTCTAGTTTTTGTTAAACGTGGTTGACCTTGGACCACTCATACACTTTTTGCTTGACCTTTCTGTGGAGTTGGTGTAAGGATGAAGAGGGAAGGTGTAGTGTTTCTATACTGCCTTGAGCTAAGGAAAGTTGGGCTATGGATATAATAAATATTTCTGTGACCTTACAGGAACCTCAGGAACTCAGATCCAAGCTAACCTTGGGTGTTCCCTAACTGTGCAGGCAAGTTGCATGCAACAACTCCAGAAAAAATGCCAGATCTTGGAATAAGTTACTACTGTCAGGCAAAGGAAACTGCATCATATGATGCACTGTCTTATATAGCAGTGGTTAAGAAGCCCACCCACTAAAAACACTCTAAATTAAATGGCAAAATGCCATTGATTTTTAATTAAGCTCTTATTTCATGTTCTTTGTACTTCCTTGTAAACACATGACTAATAATTAAATGTACTATTTTTAACAGGTCCAGATGATCTTTATTCATTCTCCCTTGTAGAGGGCCATAATACACTTTTCTGATGTAGCCAAGCACCTTCAGGTCTAGCTTGGCAGGAGAAAGAGGTATAGACAGACTAAGAAGCAGGAGATACTGCTTGGTGAAAACCTCACACCCATTAGTAAGTTGGGGAAGATAGGGGAGCAGCAGAGAAAAATAAAGTTTTGTTCTGAAAAACATTAATTTATGATAATGGAGCACAGGTTGGAAGAAGAAAGGCAGGTATTTTGCCACCATCCCCTGCTTTCAACAGAAAAAGTAGAGCTTATGTGGTGAGGGACCTGTTTTCCCAGTAGACTTGTTTGGGCTCATAACCAGCAGTGGAATGCCATTAGGTGTATAATCTCCATTAACTGGACTGTGAATAGTAGAATTACAGTGAAGAGTCACATTTCCAGTTCCAGGTCTTTGGCTTTGACTTGCCCATTCTCACAATACCTCTTTGTTAAATGATTTTTTAAAAAAATCAACATTGGAGCTTTACCTGTCTTCCAGCTAGCTGGCACCTTTCCAACCAAATGCACCAACCCTAGCTGAGCAAAGAGAGCATTCTCATTCTATTGAAGGAGCTCCTCCCAGTGTACACACAGAGGCACATAAGGCAGAGAGATGGCATTTCTTCAGGATGTAGTTTGCTGAGCAGCTTATTATGCAACCTCCAGTAATCTCTTTGGAAGCTTTCCAAATGTCTCTGGGAGGCAAGGAGACTCCTGAGCTCACTGCTGTGACTCAGCATAAGCATCAGTTCTCTCTCTCTTTTTTTTTCTTTTTTTGGCTCTGGCTGGATAGCTGTCACTCTCCCACAAAAGCATTACTCTTTCATACCCATGAACAGGAATCCGCCCTCCCCATCAGCTGAGTCTTAGAGGGGGCAAAGTCAGTGACCCCCATGGCAGGCACCCTAGCACATTCCCAACCAGAGGATTATAGGCTGCAGGCAGGCTTCCTATATTCACCACTGAGGGGGAGGAGAGATGCATGCGCTTGCCTACAGACACCAATCTTTACAAAGAGCAGGGAAAGGACAGAAAATTATAGGGAAAGAAATTGCTTTTGAATTGACCATTTCTCTCAGTTTCTTTCCCTCTCACCCGTTAGTATCCTTGTTTTTTTACTTTTGCTTTCGAGCCGCAAATATCTTAGCTTTCTATGCTCCCTGCCTGGCCATCCAGTCTTGCTGGCTTTTTGTAGAATGAAGTGCAGGAGAAGACAAAAATATATTGCATTTGGTTATTGTGCACACAGCAGGCATGGGAAAGTTTTGCATTTCTATACCATTCCTTCTAAATTGATCTCTTCTTCTCAGCCATTGGCTCCAAATAGGTGCAGGTAAAAATTGAAAATTAAAACAGAGAGATAAATTCAGATTCTGAAACATCATAGGGACATATGTTGAATCCACTTGAAAGCAACGTCCCATTTTGTCCTGTGTCTCACGGCAGGTGAAGTGTGACCAGTACTGGCCAAGCCGTGGTACAGAAACCTATGGATTGATCCAGGTGACATTGCTGGACACAGTTGAACTTGCAACTTACACAGTCCGGACATTTGCCCTATACAAGGTATGAAGGAGGATGGTGAAGTTACCAAGATATTATGAGGAAGGCTTTCAATCAGAGAGATACATAAGTTAAGGGCACCTTTAGGATGAATGCAACCCGTTGCATTGGCTCTTTTGCAAAGGTTTGGGACAGGAGAATACACTATCCAAAGGGAGCTGTTTGGAGCTAAGGCTAAAGCTCCAGCTATACTCATTCACTGATAAGACGGCCCTGTTCTCTCTGCTCAGTTATGGAATGTAAGCAGTGTTGTTTGTTCAGTCTCAGTTTGTGCACAGTAACCAGTCAGCTCTGATAACCCTGTGCTAACTCCCTGGGCAAAGGCCACGTGACATCTATGTGGCAGGGTTGTTTTCCCAATTCATGCATACAACTTAGTCAGAAGGGGAAAGGGGAACCTTGAGGGATTTTTGTCACTCCAAATCCTCATGTGAAGCCCTGAACAGATATAACTGTGGTGGTTTACCTAGGAATGGGTACCTTTGGCAGGGCTTGGACCAAGTTTTTGCTCTTGAGAAGCCTGCCAGACAAGGCCGAGGCTGGAAATATCAGGAAATATTAAAAATGCAACTAACAACATCCAGGACAGAAAAATCTCTGCCTTACCTTTTTATTGACGGGGAGGCATAAGGTGGGGAAGGGGCTCCGTAAAGGTCTGGCTGCATAAATCACCTTGTGGTCTGCAGATCTCACTTTACCCTTCACTGATGTAGGTGAAGTCTGAAGATTATTGTGGTGTAAAAGTTATTGTTTCTTTAAACAACTGCTGACTATTTTTCAGCTACAACTTTCAAACCCACCTACAAAATAGATTTTAAAATTAATCACTCATAACTATAAATCAGTCAGAAATCAAAAGTAGAACCAAATGCACACATATTGCAAGAGAAGGTGTAATCTTATGTGCTGGAGAGTCTTTGTTCATCTGCTAAAACATGGAATTAAGACAGTACCCCACCACTGCCAGCTGGTATCTTTGACTACTTCCATAGAATGGGTCCAGTGAAAAGCGGGAGCTGCGTCAGTTCCAGTTTATGGCTTGGCCTGACCATGGTGTGCCGGAGTATCCTACCCCTATCTTGGCCTTCCTGAGACGGGTGAAAGCCTGCAATCCTCCAGATGCTGGCCCAGTGGTTGTACACTGCAGGTAAGGCCCAATGATTGTATGCATGGAGGACGTGTATGTTCATAAAGAGACATCAGCATAAAGGGAGAGGAAGAGCTTGACAGTCTCTGTATTTTTGGCAGTGGGATTTAGAGGCAGGCTACAGCCGCAGAAGCAGTGGGATTGGCATTCTAGTTCCTATGTTTGCATAAACAGCACTTTGTAGTCAGTGCCAATGAGAGCAACCTTTAATTCAGTGGTTTCTGTGAGAAACAACACCAATATTATAAATATTAAAAAGACATGAGGAGCAGGATTTCAAAGGAGAATTCCTCATATGTATCCCATGGCGCGGCTGTTGATGATTCAACACACAATCTATTACACACAAAACATATGCACACTTTGGCACCCACCAAATATGTAATTATAGCTCTGTTACAGACTTCATTTTATTCCCTAAATGGAAGATTTAAGGCTTATTGCAACACTTTAAAATGAAATGTGTGAAAAAATTCTGAACCTATTTGTTATCAAGACAGAAACTCTCACTTAACCCCATATAATAAGTTGCAGTATTCCAGGATAGTGTGTACACAGACACTGACATGCTTCATCAAAATGTAGTTTTTCATTCGTGTGCTGCTGATTATTATGTGCCTATAAGGGCATGGTGTTGCAGATATATAAAGCACAGATATGCATGCACTATCTAGTTACCCAGATACACCATCTGTAAGCATCCTTGTAAACTCTGTTGCTGCAGTTTTAGATGGAAGAAATGGCTACTTCAGCCACAGACATTAGTTAGTTCACTAGGATTCAGCATCTTATCTGGCCAGTGATTTATCTCCTGAAGCTGAGTGGGAACTATTACTGAACAAACCACTTCATCACTGCAGCTCTCACAAATGCCTTAGAAACAGTATTTAATGCTCTCTCGTCATGCTCTGGTTCAGATGGGAGTGGTGTATAATTAACACAGAGTCTCTCCCCATTAAAACCCTGTTAAGAATTTGATATGAGCAGCAGTAAGGAGATGTCCTGCTGCAGAACTCTTTAGCTGTCAGAAAGCACATCTGTTTCTTGTTGGCTTGTTGTTAGTTTGTGCACTGGGAGCACGACTAAGTTGTTTGCCCATGAAGGTCCAGCTCTGCCCTTGCTGAATCAGGTTAGGGCTCACAGCCTTTTTAAAAGAGGACTCTGCACTGGGGAGTTCTGTGCCCAAAGGTGTTCTGTGCACAAAGGTGCACAGAACTCCACCATCCTAATTCCACGTGCTCTGTTCATGTGTTATCTGTATCCAATCTGCCTCCATTAGTAGTCTTCTAAGAACACCTTAAGGTGGAATTGTGACTTTGATGATTATCTATTCATGCTACATATGGTGGGAAGAGGCAGAAGATGGCAAAACTTTAGATTTGACTCAAAGGACAGCGCCATTTCATATACTGTGCTCTGCTTTGACAGTGCCGGTGTGGGCAGGACAGGCTGCTTCATCGTAATTGATGCCATGCTTGAGAGGATGAAACATGAGAAGACAGTGGACATCTATGGGCACGTGACATGCATGCGCTCACAGAGAAACTATATGGTGCAGACTGAAGATCAGTATATCTTCATCCATGAGGCCTTGCTTGAGGCAGCCACCTGCGGAAACACGGAGGTCCCTGCACGCAACCTCTTTGCTCACATCCAGAAACTGAGCCAGGTACCTCCAGGGGAGAGTGTCACAGCAATGGAACTAGAGTTTAAGGTGAGCAGAATATAATTTGCATTGAGTCCCGCATATGTTCATGCACAAAACAATCATGGGGGTGCAGTGTGAGAAATTGGTGCCCCTGACTTTCATCCCTCACAGTTCTGTGAACCACTACAAGAAGTCAATTCCTAAGTTGAAGAGAGATACAGATTTTATAGGTATAATAATTCTTTTGTAAACTTCTAAGCCAGGTAGGAAGTGATTAAAATACATTTGAATTGCAGAGTGGATGTCCTCTACATTTCCCTCCTGGATTGGCAGCTTCTGGGAAGGATATAAAAAGGCAGATTGATGTGAAGTTCTCAGCAGCACTGCTTTGCAGAGCTGCTGGAGCTGCATCCAAAATCAGATGCAGATTGAGCATTAGCGATAATTGATGTCACTATAAGCAGCTTCTTTGGAATGCTACCAGTTTAAACACTTGAAATGTCAATAGCTCCTGTGCCCCCTGCTTTGTGCCACTCTTCGTCTCCCTAAAATGGAGGAGGAGAAAGGGAGGGCCAGCATCAGGTTTAGTTGGTATGTTGATTGATACAGTTTAAGAAAATGCCATCCCCTGGTTGTCACGAGTGTGCACGCTTGCCAGCATCACCACTCATATTTATGGCAGATTTACACTAATATTTCTTAAAGCCTTAGAGCAGGTTGCAAGCTTTGCTAATGCCCACGTACTCAGTTGATGTGCATTTGTTCAGCAAAGGCGTGTGGGGGAAGATGAATCCTGTGAGGGAAGCAGTGGAGCATGCGAAGTGTGAAACAGACTGCGGAAGCTCCATTCTACCCTGGGAATAGCTTCTTGCAGAACAGCATCCAGGAGACTAAAAATACTGGCTTACTGTACAAACAGTAGAAAGCAAAGCAATGCTGACTCTGGTCTCTGAACGCTGCCAAGTTTGGAGGTCCCCATGAGCAAAGCTTTCTTTTCAGGACCCTTCTCTTCTTTATGATGCCCATTTGTTTCCTTCTCCCTCTGAGCCCGATCCCAGCTACTTTTTAGATGGGGAAGTGAGCACTGAGCATGTTTGTTCCTCTTTGTCACCACCATTCAGGGATGACAGGGCAGTAATGACAGCAAGGAAGAGAAAGTGGAGTAGCAACCATCACTTGCTTGAAATCTCACTCTGTTCCAGTACAAGTAAGCTGATAGCTGTTCTTCACTGTTGCTCAACTGCCTGCTCTCTTCTGATAGTGACTGACCAAGGGAGAAAACAGTAAGAGATTCAGTGAGCCTCTTTCTCCTTGCCAGCAATAATGGCATGATGACAATATGGAGGAAAGCAAGTATTAACACTGATAAGAGAGGTTGAAAAACTGGCACTCACACATTTTGCCTTCTACCTCTAGATGATAATATGAATTGGTCTAACCCAGGTCCTTCTGCTAACTAGAGGGAGAAGGCAGATGAGCCAGGCAAAGATGGCATTTGTGCCTTCTCACCATTGTTACCTGATGATAAGAGTAGCCTATGATTATGAGAAGGAGCATTGAGGGCTCTGGAAGCTAGCAATGGGTTCAGAAGGTGCAAGAAGGATTCTAGCAAGTCCTGATCTCCTGGAGATCATATTATTGTTAATCTCGGCCATTTTTCTATTTAAAAGAATGGTGTATGCAATTAACATTAGGGGAGCTCTTCCTCCCACAGTAGTATACAGGTCCATTGTATTCCTATCTCCCTCTGAACTGTCACATCTCCTCACAACAGCTTCTTGCCAATTCTAAAGCACATACCTCACGATTCATCAGTGCCAACCTCCCGTGCAACAAATTCAAAAACCGTCTGGTGAATATCATGCCCTATGAGCTGACGCGGGTTTGCCTGCAGCCTATCCGTGGTGTTGAGGGCTCAGATTACATCAACGCCAGCTTTGTAGATGGCTACAGGTAAAGTATTCATTCCAAAACCATGTCCAAACTGTCTCCCTGTAACGTTGTTGCATCGCTTCTGGTAGCTTGGCGTGTCTGCCAAGTACATTGCAGGCAGTAAGAGCCCAGTCAGTTGCCTTTCCTTTGGGACTGTGGGTATCACAGAGGCTACATGTTTCCCCTTCCCAGCCTTGTCTGGGCCCCTGCTATTGTAGTAGAAGTGACAACAGGGGGGGAAATGGTTTATCTTTAAAGGAAAGTACATGTGCTTCCAAGGTGCATTTTTTCCACTTTAGATTGCTGTTCTTTAGATTGCAACAATGGCTGCACCTTTTTTTAAAAGGCAAATCACAGTGCTGAAAGTCTCCCAGAGGCTCAATTTGCCTTGTAAAGAGATGTGTACATTTTATTAAAGGAAGAAACCTGGATTTTAAGGTGGAAATAAAGCACCCAAAGAGTACACACCACTAAAACACAGTTTCCCTGTTGCTGCCACAGCAAATTCAAGCAGCAGCAAGAATGGGTGTAGGCATTAGGTACAGCTCCTCAGCTCCTTGAAATTATCCATCAGTGCCCTAGAGTTTTGCATCCTGTCACTGCTTTTCTTCTCAGGCTTTATTGGCAGTTAAATATAGGTAGCAGGTACTAGTTTGCTGCATCCTCCATTTTTCTAGTCAGGTTTTTCTTGGCAACATACTGTACACTTATTTCCCAAACTCTTTCTCCAACAATAGAATTGCCTTTTTTGTTCCACATTTGGGATTGTCAGTCTGCTTGTCATGCTGCAGTATTGGCCAGGGCCACACACCCTCTCCCTTGAAGACAGATATGGACAATCTTGCACAAGGAAAGAGCCAATCTGTCTTCAGTCTGCTGTGGCAGACTTGAGGACTTTGAGACAGCCAACGTGCTTGCATGGAGTGAAGCTCTGCCCTACCTATTACTTTCTCCCAAGACACCTCATCAGGCTACAAAGGCAGCACTGACTTCCTGGTATAAAGGTTTGTCATTTACGAACCTCTCTGAAGTAGAGACCCAGCTATACAGAGCAGTCCTTTACTGCAAAACAGCCAGGAGTTTGCCAGGCCCAAGATTGCCACGGCTGGGGCAGAAGAGCAGAGTCACTCCAGGCCCCTTTCCTGTTTAAGATCTAACTAACCCATGGCAATGCACAGCTGCTGCCACCTCCATGTGTGTGGTGCTGCAACAAAGCTGTTGGGAACTGGGGAAAGGATATTGGTGAAAACGTCTACCAAGCAGCATGTGGTTGCACTTCATGTCCTACCTCAAGCATCCCTGCAGTCACTGTTTATCTCTTCCCATCCTTCTCTTTGAAGTGAACAATCGTTCTCTGCTTTATCTAAAGAGATCAATTGGCCCAACATGCTATAGATGGCTCTGAAGCTGCATCTTTATTAGTGCCTTTGTTTCTTCCCCCTCACCCCACTACGCTTTTGCCTTTTGTCTTATAAATCCACCTTGTAGCAGCTTCCATCTCTGTCCTGCACATTACAGCTGTCCTACAACAAATTCATTAATTTTTAGCACCAGTGAAGAGATTAAATGAGTGTGAATCGAGCCGAGAGCCTAAGACTCTATCCAAAGGTCTATAGTGCCTCACAGTGGTAAAATAAAAAAGGTCACAGTTGTTCTTTAGAATTTTGAAACTGATTCTACATTCTTCCTTAGCTTGAAGATGGAAGCTAGATGCTCACTGCTGCCTTCACTGGTGATGAATATGGAAAGCAGCACCTACTGAGTACCTACCTCGTCAATGCTTTCTGATTTCTGTAAGATCAGCAGTGCAGGTGGATTTTGAGACAGCATCAGTTCCACACTTTGGATCAACATGCTACCTGTGCCATTCTGGAATCTGTACAGAAAGCATTATGCAGTGTTTTGTAACAAGCACTGAATTACTGAAATACAAAATCTGACATAATTTCCCAGCTCACATGTACATTTTAGAAAACCTAATTAGCATTTCTTACAGCACTGGTTATCCCAGTTCATTAGCCATACCTTCTCCTGATTCAGCAGCCTTGGCCTTTTATGCTTTTTACCCTGCTTCTGCCAAAGGATTTTAGATAGCCCAAGTTATCTCAGGGTGGATTAAGAAACTGTGGACGGTGTGTTGGGGTAGCTGTGACCATGGGGATACGTTCTAAGGTGCAGATGTGTGGTACAGTTTATCCCCATTCCTTGGTCTAATCAGAATCAGGCACCATTCTGAACTGTTTCATGTCTTAACAGGCAGCAAAAGGCCTACATTGCCACACAGGGACCCCTGGCTGAGACCACAGAGGATTTCTGGCGGATGCTGTGGGAGCACAACTCCACAATTGTGGTGATGCTGACCAAGTTGCGAGAGATGGGGCGGGTAAGCAAGCAGTTTGGAATTAGTGCAAATTCTGACTTAAGATTTCCACAGCCTGTTTCCAGATGGCCTTCTTTGCTTTTGCTCTCACAGAGTTGGGGGTGTCTGGTGTCAGTACAGAAGGTGAAGCTCTCTGTGCTAAGCCTCCAGCTGCTTACTTGGCAAGCTCCACTGGAGCTTTCTCTGGAACCATCAGAGTGCTTGATCTTCCCCCATCCCACCCCCATGCTTAAAGACAAACTACTAGGTTTAGGTTCCTTGCTTTGTGGGCTTCCCAAAAGCCAGAAAAGAAAAGGGACAATTGGCTAGAACTGAAGTTTCCTCATAGCTTTGTACAGGAAAGTAGACTGATTACTCATCATGGAAAATGCCATTGTTCAAGGAGTGAGGGGAGCCTAATCAATCACGTCATGCTGGGAGGGAAGAAGCAAACGACTGATTTGCTGCTCATATTAGAGTCAGGAACTGCGGGTGTGGAGAAAAGCCTTGCATTATCACTCTAGAATACCCTCATTTCAGCCACTTCATAATCATCATGCAAGAAGTGCCACACTTTTTACTGCGGTGATTCTGACTCTTCCTTTCCTTTTTAGGAGAAATGTCATCAGTATTGGCCAGCAGAGCGCTCTGCTCGGTACCAGTACTTTGTGGTGGACCCCATGGCTGAATACAACATGCCTCAGTACATCTTGCGGGAATTCAAGGTCACTGATGCCCGTGTGAGTATCACACCCTGAATTGCTTTTTTTAACAACAGGAGAACTTTATTTTGAAGAAACAAAAACTCGAGTTATCTCTAATACTGCATAGAAAAGTGTGCACATGACACTTCAGATAGGCACTTTACCATCATGGGTTTTTTTTAATCATTCATTGGCTGGTCACCACTGCATTGGTGTTTCTATGCCAAGGGCCTGAATCCCAGAGAAAACAGCAGCATCCATTTCATACATGCTCATCAGTACTAATATTCAACAAGATAGTCTGTAAGCAGAAGTGATTTGCTCAATCGGATTTGACCCTCCATCTTGCAGTCTTCCCCAAAACAAACAGTCAGAGTCTGAATCCATACTGTCATGTATAATAGGACCTCCTATCCACAGGATCAATATCACTGAGTCATTTACCTGCTGCCTGAAAATACTAAATAAAAAATCCAAGGTATACCTATTTACAGTATATGTATTTCCAGGGTGTACTTACCAGAACTGGCCACTAGAGGAAGCCAGAGACCATGCCATGTACAATGGTACCTCAATTTACGAACTTAATCCATATTGGAACGGCGTTCGTACATCAAAAAGTTCGTAAGTCGAGGCAAACTTTTCCATAGGAATGCATTGAAAACCATTTAATCCGTACCTGCTGTTTTTCATTCGTATGTCAAGGCGCTGTTTGTAGGTAGAGGCATTAGTTCCCATAGGAACTAATGCAAAGCCGGTTAATCTGTACTCTACCACTAGGGGGAGAATTTTTTAATTTTTTTCCCCCTTTTGACCTAAGATGAACGTAGGTCAAAAAAGGGGCAGGAAAGGGTTTTTTCAGGTGGGGGGGTTCGTTCGTAAGTCGAGGCAAGTCGAAGCAACTTTTTGCGAACATAGCCATTCATAATTCGAATTGTTTGCAAGTGGAGACGTTCCTAAGTCGAGGTACCACTGTATAGTGTTCAATACTTTGTTTTCCAGCATCCACAGGGGGGCTTGGAACTGATCAGCTGCAGATATCGCAGTCCCACTGTAATTGGGAGGCATTACCTTACCTCTCCCCTTTCCCTTGACCAGGATGGGCAGTCCAGAACCATCCGGCAGTTCCAGTTCACTGACTGGCCTGAGCAAGGAGTACCAAAAACAGGCGAGGGCTTCATTGACTTCATTGGGCAGGTACATAAGACCAAGGAGCAATTTGGCCAGGATGGGCCCATCACTGTACACTGCAGGTGAGTGTTGACCTCTAGGCGATATTTGAAAGGTGGCTTAGTGCTAAGGACCAGCAATAAGACATAAAATGTTACCAATAAAACTAGAGAGTGGCTGCAGAAGCAGTCTTACCTGTCTGTGAATGGAAGCTTTATCTGAAGACAGGGGTGGGCAACTCTGCAGGGCCAGAAATCAGTTTTCTGCCCGCAAAAATCATCTGGAGGCTACACAGACCACAAAAACACCACCACCCATCCCAAAAATTGTTTGGAAAAATTGTTTGTTGTCTATTTTCTTTCCCAAGGGAAACCTTTTTGGCCATATAAGTGCCAAAAAATTGTCCTGGAGTTGGACTTGTTGCCCCAGGGCTACATTTTTGCCCACCCCTGTCCTAAGGGGTCTCTGCACCTTTTGGTTTTTAAGCAGCATGACAGTACCTATTATGAAGGATTTTAGCATGCAGAACTTCTAATAATGCTTGGACTATGATCTCCTTCACTGAATCCAAGCTGGGACAACTATCACCTTTTTCTTTTCTTTGTATGCAGTGCGGGAGTTGGACGCACTGGGGTGTTCATCACGTTAAGCATTGTACTGGAGCGCATGCGCTATGAAGGCGTCGTTGACATGTTCCAGACGGTGAAGACCCTGAGAACACAGCGACCAGCCATGGTGCAGACAGAGGTACATCTGCCTGGCATAGTGTTTGCTGCTGCACAGCAGACTGGGATGGGGCTTTGCACATGAACACTAATTAGATGTGACTGCACTAAAGTTCCATCATCATTTACTTTCCCAAGAAGTAGGGCCAATGTTCCATATAACACATATTCAGACAGCTATAAGCCTTACCCACATTCCCGAGCTGATGTATAGCATCCAGTGAGACACAGAGTAAGTATAGAGCAATCAACTGTTGAATAATATATCTATAGTCTTTTAAAAAGAATCTTGAAGACTTGATGAAGGAAAGCAGTTCAATCGGTTTACATTGATGAGACCATCATGTTCCTTTCCAATAAGTATTCTCTGTGATTTACATCCCCCCACATGGGAGAGTCTCCAAAGAATAGTCAGTTGATACAGTATGTAGTAAAGTATTATGTTACCATCAGTTACTACATTCACTTTTCTGCATGACAATTACTTCTTGCAGGCAGCAGGCTGCCTGATTCTTATAGCCAAGATAAGAGACTGGTTTGTCTCACACCTGATCCCCCACTGTTGCCTGTCCTATTGGCGGCAGCATGATATCCTTTCCTGTTTTTATATAGTGCAAGAGTATCCATATCTGTCATTTTGCAATGCCTGGATAATGAGAGGAAAAACAGAAACTCATTCGGACTCCTCTATTCTGTAATGTACTTTACTTTCATGGTGCCCAAGTAAAATACTGTAAAGCAGGAATGAATTTGTATTTATGCCCAATAAGTAGGTATGAAAATAGCTAATAAATTATTTATTGGGTTTCTTGTATGCTCAAGGAATTCAGCTGGTTTTCTCCACCCTATAGCTGTACAGAAAATTTTCACCTAGGCAATTTTTGAGTTATCAATCAAAATTTGACTTGGCAATTTGAAGTGGGTCAAGATGCTCGTAATTTCACTCCTTGGGATTTGATGCCAAATCCAGTACCTGGCCTGGAAGTGTTCAGGGGAAAAGAGGTGTAAGAAACAATTTTCATGTAGAAAGGGTAGGCCATACCTCTTCTGACTCCCCTCTAAACTTTGTATCATTTGGCGTGTTTTTTAAATCATTCTTATTATTTGATTCTTTTTAATGTAATGAGTATTCATGTCTAGTATAAATCAGTACAATAAACCAATAATAACAACACTTATTACAAAGCAGGGTCAGTACAGACTGTTTCAGAGATAATTTACCTCCGTAGTATACTAATTTAAGCCGATCATTCTAGAAATCAACATGAGATGCTTAAATGAAATTATTCTTTGTGTTTAAACAGCTTGCTTTGTTTGTTTGTTTCTTTACTTATAGCCTGCATTGCCACTAAAATATAGTGTTCAAGGCAAATCACATATAGCTTAAAAATAATAAATTAATAAACCAGTCCCATTGTAAAAACTATTAGAATAGAATTAAGCAATTTAAATTGCTTAAACAGCAATTAAAATCAGCAAAAGATGCAGATAAAAACAACACAGATTGTAAGTGTGCACTGGCTTCTCATTGATCTCAGTGCTTGGCCTTGGTCTGTCATCTTTTCCATAAGTTCAATGTGCCACACATTTGTGAACCACTAAGCATGAGTTAAAACATTTTTCTAATCATCTGCTATGGCTAGTTGAGCTGCCATTTAAGATTTCTGCAATGAGTTCAGATTCTCTTCTATAAAGCTTTCTCCTCTTCTTTCCACAGGACCAGTACCAGCTGTGCTACAGAGCTGCACTGGAGTATCTTGGCAGCTTTGATCACTATGCAACGTAACTAGTGCTTTTGGCCAGTTGCAACAGGAATGTCCAAGAGCAGAGACGGGTTCTTCCCAGCCAGCCGCCCATTTGTTAGTCCTGTGCAGATGCTGCGGCAACAGCCTCCCCATGACAAACCAGTTATGATCGCAGTATTTAGGTACATTGCCACAGCGCCAAAAGTGGGACCATCTTCTTACATTTCCAAGTTCCAGATGAATTTCTTTTAATGGCCCCACTCCTCCTCCTGCCCTTGATAGCATTTCATGGTGAGAGTCATTGGGTGGATGGAATGGGATCTTTTATATATGTAAAATAGTTAACTAGCCTTTTATATCTTTTTTTTTCTTTTCTTTTTAATTCTTTGCAAGTCTTAATGTTTTGCTCAGGCAAAACAAGGAAATGGAGGTGGTGGGATTTGAATTTCCTTTTGTTCCTCCCCCCTTACTCTTTTGTTGTCTCAACCGCAGTGGCGTTGCCCATTTTCGGGCAGCCCCAGGTTAATATTAGTGGCTGGCTCACAGTTCTGGGTTCCTTCCACACCCTCTAGAGTCCTGTAGAATATTCAAATTCACAGAGCTGGGGCCAGCCTAACGATTATTTCGAAAGCCTTTTCCTCCTAAAGGCCTGTCTGTCAGGTGGGACTCTAGCAGGTATCAGATGCTTGGTCCTATTGACATGTGTCCAGTGACCTCATATTTGTCAGTTGATCCCATGTGAGCTTTCCATTCACAGGAGAGATCCACACACACACACCCGGGATCCTCTCTTGTTAAGATGGATGAAAAGGTGGCCTCTCCGCCATGCACACAGTCTTAAGTTCCCCAGAGGGATGTGACCACAGATACACATGTATCCAGTCCTTTTAGTACCAGTAGCATCCAGAGGGGCTGTTGCCCAGGCAACTGCAACCAACCAAATGCATTAGAACATATTCTAAGGTGAAAGAGCACAACTCTGGGAAGTCCAGCCTTCCTGCACAAACCCCAGAAACGGGGTGCCTTCGTTATATGGGGGGGAGAGGGGGAATTGGGGTTCTTCAGGTAAGGAAATCAGTTCTCAGATGCTGGGTGTGGCTATAATTTCTTCTATCCTGTAAACATTTAAAAGTCATTAGAATGCTATATTTTCCACTATGAAAAGATGGTCTAATTAACCAATGTGGCAAGACTACTGGACTTAATTTAATGGTACTGTATATTAATACTCCTTATTATCTCACACTTGCACTACAGGCAGGGAGATTACAGCCTTCTCCCAGGTGCATAGCTCTATAAATAAAGGTGGTGGAAAGGTCTCTAACTGTATTACCCAATGTATCCAAACTGCATTGAAATCAACAATCCTGGATGGTGATGTTGGAGAGAACATTCATTTTTAACTTGTGAAAGCATAGTGCTGTAGGGGTCACTGTTGTATACAGTCTGTTTTCTATTTGTTAATAAAAATCTACAGCATCATTGCATAATTCTTGATGTTAATAAATTTGAATAATCGGGTTTCCTACATATGCAGTTTGCTGTCTTGTTTTATTTGGCAATCAGCAGATAAACCTCTAGTCTCCTTGGAAGGAGTGCAACAAGACCACACTTGTGGGAGGAACGAAATCTAGCTATACGGTGAAAAGCAGAACTTGTGCTGAACTACTCTGCTCATAGATACAAGGGGGATGAAAGTATAGCTGAAGCTGACTCCCTTTCAGTAGGATATGGCTATATCAGCGGCTCATACCTGCGTGGACAATTTAGCTGCTGAAACTATTGTGTTAGTGCTAGTTTTCCGTTAGGATGTTGAACTGCTGCTAGGACGATACAGAAATACTGCAATTTATCACAACCTCCTCAATTGTTTTAACACTTTATTGATACAAAATTTCAAACTTTGACAGCTATGCTGGCTGGCTTCTTTCTTTTTTCTTGCATTCCCCCCCATGTGGGGGGATGTAAATGTGAGATGTAACACACATCCTTGTTTGGGATTGGGGGGCATAACTTTTCCTAAAATATCAATCACAGAACTGGTTCATACCCCTTTCATACCTCTAAGTACTAGCAAGTCATGTCTCACCTCCCCTAAGACAGAATCTTGTATACATGCATCAGCCCACAGCCTAACCACATAGTAAACAATTTCATCAGCACAGGTGCAAAAGCTGAGGGGCTTTCCCCACAAGAGTCCTAAGGAACTAGGCAAGAATTTTGAGCCACTTAAATTAACATACACATCTTCATGTTTCTAGGACTGAGTTTTTATTTACCTATTTACTATCCATCCTCCAACAGATGTATTTAGGTTAAAGCATATCTTGCTCTTGTTGCAAGAGATGCTCTAACTTTCGTTGTCCCCTTTATTTTCCTCATCTATGTATAACTATAAACATTGACATCCATCTGTACCAGAGGGTGGACAAAATGCAACATCCCAAGGCTATCCCAAAGTGCAGCATCCCAAGGCAAGGTATGCCTTCTCCCAATAGACTCCCATCTCCACTAAAACCAACAGTTTTCCCTGGGGTGGGGGGAATGAAACCTCAGGGAGCACAACCTCATCTTTGATATACATTGCTGTATGTCTTCTCCCCTGTCACGTACACAATGTTTAAAATCAGTGGGGGAAACAACTGGTGAGAATGGACTTCTGGTGACTTCTATTGCTGTTTTGTTAGGGGCGGTATGTGTATTCACAGCCTGAATGATCCTGGGGCACAAAATTGGCCTTCAGATCTGTTGTCCATCCTGGTCTAGAGACTACATGGAACCTATTTTCAGGAATGTCTGAAGTAAGCCTAACAGAGTGCCTTTGAGCAATCACAAATAGATATTTCTTCCTCTTGAGTAGTTACAGCTGTCAGATAAAAGCCAAATAGTGCTCCCTGCACCCAATTTAAGATGATAGTTTTCACTTGCAAATCCCAGAACATCTGATCAGAAGAGCTCACTGATAGGAACATTTTTTTCAGATTATAGTGATACTGTACTTGCTTATTCAGAACTGGGATAGGAAATGTTTATGTTAAGCTTGAGAATTTCCTTATTTCAGGAGGTCACTTGACATTACCTATGTCCTTTTTCCAGTGACAGACAGACTTAAGCTGTTTAAACTGCAGTCTTGTGGTTCTTCAGACAACAGCACAAGAGCTACAGGAAGAGATTTTCTCTTGGGCAGCACACAGAAAACCACTCTTGGAAGCAGATCTGCATCTAGTCTGTCTCCTACACCAGAGAGAAAATGTGTTGTAGACAGGATAGCGGGCATGCCACAAGAGGCTGTCTACCTCACTTGGCTTCAGAGATGCCTACGAGTGGGTGCTGATAAGTATTGAGCCTTTCCCAGAAAAAAATGAGCTAGGAAGCTGTAATTGCCACACTAATCTACATATGCCCCCAGGAAGTCAGTGCGACATCTGTCCTGCAGCTTCTGAAGTCCCTGCAAATAAAATTCTTCTGACTGCTGGCGTAACTACTCATTTGCACCATTAGTTGCCTCCAGAACACCCTCAAATCCTTGTCCCTTTAGGTGTTTTTTGAGTTTGGGGAACAGATAATAGAAGGAGCCAAGTCGGGAGAATAGGGTGGGTGGGGCATTACCTGAAAGCCTAAGGACATCAGTTTTGCCATTGTTTCACCTGCAGTGTGTGACGAGGCGTTGTCATGCAACAGGATGATACCTTTGGAGAACTTTCCTCAATGTTTTTCCTTGATGTTTTGCCTCAACTTCATCAATAAAGCACAGTAATATTTTGCATTGACGGATGAACCCTGTTGGAGGTAGTCCACCAGTAGAACTCCCTTCTTATCCCAAAAAACTGTTGCCATTTGCTTCTGCACCGATCTTTGCACTTGGAAATTCTTTGGCCTGGGGGAACCACTGTGCCTCCATTCCTTAGACTGTTCCTTTGTCTCAGGATCATAACAGTAGATCCATGTCTCATCCCCAGGAAATCTGACTCATTTCTTGCAAAATGTTCCGAAACAGCCACCAATGACTCCACACATTTCCTCTTCTGTTCAGTTGTCAAAAGTTTGGGGATCCACTTTGCTGCCAGCTTTCTTATTTCCAAGTCATTGTGGATAATGGCACCAACTCTCTCACATGATATTCTCAGATATATAGTGGTGCCTCGCACAACGAGTGCACCGTAGAGCGATGAATTCGCTCTACGAGGCTGGTTTTGCGATCGCAAATGCAATCGCACACCGATGCCTGCATAGGGCAAAAATCGCAGAGCGAAGGTCGGTAAGCGGTTCGCTTACCGACCTTCGCTTTGCGACCCGCCGATCAGCTGTTCGGCGGCTACAAAATGGCCGCCGGAAGCCCCAAAATGGCCACGCGCAGCGTTTTCGCGCCCTCGTTAAGCGAGGGGAGGGCGCAAAAATGGCTGCTGGCCATTGCAAAACATCGCTGAACGGTGAGTAAATCAGCCGATTGGAACGCATTAAACTATGTTTAATGCATTCCAATGGGCTTTTCTGCCCCGTTCAGTGATGTTTTCACACAGCGAGGGTTAATCCGGAATAGATTAACCGTGCTGTGCGAGGCACCACTGTATATCAATACTTTTGGCTGATACTCGGCGGTCCTCCATGATCATGTCATGGATGGCTTTAACATTTGCAGGCACAGAGACAGAAACAGGCCTTCCACTGGGTTTCTCACTTTCAGCACCGAAATGACCAGTTTTAAAATTGGCAACCCAACATTTAACTGTTGTATATGAAGGGCCACCATCACCCATAGTTTGTGACATTTCATCCTGGATCTGCTTTGCACTGTTCCCTTGGAGAAACAGGAACTTGATTATGGTCCTATGCTCTTCCACACTGAACTTTTCTGGAAGTGCTGCCATGTTCACTTTGGACCGGAACATGAAAGATAAAAGGTAGCTGATTTTTGCACCATTGAACACAGACAAATTGGCCAATATACCCTGCAATTTATAGCTTCCTACCTCATTTTTTTCTGGGAAAGGCTCAATACTTATCAGCACCCCCTCGTATAAACCATCCAAAAACCTATGTCAGTTCTGAAGCTAATGTAGATTAATTTTCTCCCACTGGTTACATAACTTGATAGAGCTGACATTTCCAGCAAAGTGTGATCTTTCAGGCAAGAGTCAGGCCTGTCTCCTCTCATGTTCACAATTAAGCACAGCTCCTTAGTTACCTGGACAAATCCAACTCCTCCAGCTACTTATGAAAAATACTCTCAATTTTTTTAGACATCTTAGTTTTTCTGATTTCCTCCTAATGCTGAACAGTGCAATCAGACAATTCCCATCCAACAGCAAACATTTCTCACCAATCCCTGTTCATCTTGGGATTGTATAGGAAAAGTCATACAGTAGTTGCTTTGAGGGAAAAAAGGATCATATTGATGATATGTTAAATACAAATGCTAAAAATTACACAAATGAAAAAGTTCTGTAAGTAAATTCTACTTTCTCACCCATGAAAACAATTAAGTTAAAAGACAAAACTCCAGCCCTTGTTCTAGCTCATTTCCCTTCTAGATAATCAGAAATAAAAAGTACTGTGGCAGCCGTTACACTTAACAAATTTACTTCAATGTCAGCTTCTGCAGACAACAATCCATTTCTTCAGATTCCCACAAAATCTTGAGATAAGCTTTCAAACAATTTTTCTTGTCTTAAAGGTGCCATATTGGTTTTGTTTTGTTGGTGCTGAAACAGACTAATGTGGCTACCTCTGTTCAAAATAAGAAAACTTCAGAAGCTGCAAGTACTTTTAAAACTGCAGTGATTTATTGTTTTCATCATCATTATGGGTGGTAGTTATTGTCCAGAAACCAGAAATCTGGATGTCATGCATAATTTATGGATCATGCACCAGAGGAACAGTACTGGTAGAAGAAGGGTGGTGGTAGGTTGTCTGCAGCATGCAAGATCAGGTAACAGGTTGCTGAAGAAGTCCTTTCACTGCCATAATTTAGTCAAAACTGGTGGCTGTCTAACCAGGCTTCATTAGAAGAGAGACATTAGTTCACATTGCACCCATATGTACTAATGAAGCTTAAACAAATAGAAAATTGCTGTGCCATCTTTAACACTAGTGTCAATTACAGTCAACACTTAAAAGACATATGGAGTGAAACATCTGGATCAAAGGTTTAGACACAGTATACATACGTTGGGATGAGAGTACCATCAGATACAATGGGAAATATCAAAGGACAATTGCATATTAGCACCCAGTAATGAGCTTACAGGATGACTGGCACAGATAGTGAACAATCTATCAATCAGGTTGCAGGACCCCAACACTTTCCTGATCCTCAGTGCTGACATGTGAACTCTATGGGATCAGAAGAAAGCCTGCTCTTCCACCACATACATTCTTCTCCATAGCGGAGGGTTTTGTTGTTTGTGTGGCTCTCTGACAGTGATATTTTAAAGTTATAATATCTGTCAATCCAAAAAGGTGAAGACTTGTGATCATAAAAGATCCAATGGGAAAAAGATATTTCAGCCACATTTTAAAATCTAAGGAAC